AGACATAGATGAAAAATGTTTTTTAGTATGGCGTTTCGCATTTTGAATCTCATTGTGTTATCAATATTTGATTATTACCTGACAAACAATCCTTAAAACGTTTTGAAAGTCATCTCATACCGTAGATTACTAATTAATCAATGGGACACTGGATAATCTTGAACCACAATCAAACCTGTTTCTTCTGATGAGGATTTGAATGAAGCACTCATGTTATATAAGTTCCGATATCAACTGAAAACATCCTTAAAAATTGATTTGAAATTTTTACAAACTGTTATCTACGACTATCGTGTATCGCATTATATGAATGACAAGTTTTTCAGAACGTTTTCAAGGATTGTTTGTCAGGTGATAATCTAATCTTGATGAAATAACTATGATCACAATCAAAACTTGCATTCATAAAAAAAGGTTTGATTGTGGTTCCAGATTAACAAGTGTCCCAACGACCAATTAGCAATCTATGGCATGAAAAGACATTCAGAAAGTTTTTGCGGGTTGTTTGTCAGGTGATAATCAAATATTGATAAAATAACTATGACCACATCAACATAAATAAAATATTTCTATCAGTTTTTAGATTGAAAGTATTTTGCTTTGTTTTATTATTGCGTATGATTTCTCTCATTCAACCATTATTCTGATTATTGAAATACCATAAGACTATTTATACATGTAGTTGTATTCTTAACTCAACTTTCGCGTCTTCTCAAATATGATATTTCGTTGAAAAATTACACGATGAAATAAATGCAAAAGATTGAATGATTTCGATAAAGTTTTATTGAAGTTATATAGCTTTGATGCTGAATATACTGGAAAACCTCCAGGAGCTTGCTAATAAAACAAAATAAGATCAGTCAAGTCTTAATAGATCAGCTTTAAATCGAAAAAAAATCAATTAATAAATGAGCAAAAAAGACTGGTATCTAAATCAAACTTCTTTAGGGGCATAACCTTTGACTAACATGGGAAGTTCCCATGAAGATGATTGCATTCTTCGAGTTTTGAGATTTTTAAATTGAGAATAGAAATAATCCAAAATTGTTTTCAACTGCCACAAAACAAATTCGATTTGACGTCCATCGCGAGTTCTCAAATAATGTTCATTCTGATCCTGGGTGTCCTTTGGCCAAAATCTTTTTAAGTTAAGCTTAGGCTCAAGTTGACATTAAGTTAATGAAGCAAGCAGTCTTTGAAGCACATCATATTTCATTAGATCTTTATCTTCAATTTCGCTTAAATAAAAGGTCATTTGTTTCTCTGGTAAGATTGGGGTTGGAAACTAGATCTAGCTTTTTGAGCAAATCATCTGGAGTTACCTTGAATTGCGCCTTCATGGGTCCAAACTCCATTAGAATCATTCCATTATGCATAATGTATTCGTCAATTACACTCACAAGTCGTTGCGTTTCATCAGAAAATAATCTATTTTTCCGCTCTAGTTAGTTGTTTGTCCAAAGCTTCAAGACTAATTACTTTCAATGTTAGCAAATTCTGTCCACTGTCTCTGTATTTTCAATTGCCTCATGTTCAAAGGAATTCTTGATGCCTTCAATACTTTTAATCGCGTTTTGTATTCTTAAATGTAAAAAAGACGCAACCAATGGAGCACTGTAACTAGCAGCAAGTTGTTGAAGTAAATAACCATCTTTCAATGGAGCTTATCTGGTTAATGGACCTGGAACACCAGATATAAATAGATAAAGATAGTCAAGGAATTGCTTTTTTAAAACTCGCCATCACAATGTTAAGGATAATACTTACAAAGTGAACATATTAAAACAAAACAATCTAATAAAATAATAATTTAATATCCTGTTCATGTCTCTTTTGGATTTAACTGCAAATCAATAGATGAAGTAATAGATTCAATACAAGAACCAGTTCAAATTATGTATTCAATAAATTTGATGCTTCTCTTAAAGTAATGTTAAAAGATCAAAAATAATGTAACAGTACGCATAAAAAATGCTTGTTATTTCATTCTAGTACAACTTTGCTTTTAAAACGAAATACCATTTTATTGGAATGTAAAACTTATGAAATCGTTCGTTCATTTATTGTCCAACATAGCAAATAATTTAAGTGATTTTGGTTTTGTAGAAATAATCATGTAAATAAACCTAGAAACCTTAAGATCAGTCCATTTCAACCGTTTCTTAAGAGTAACAAGTTAAGCAATATTAATACAATCGGCACACTTCACGACCATTAATTGAATGCTGAGTGGCAAAATTGTTTAAGTGAATCTTAACTGTTAACACATATGCTGAAAACTGAAGATGTGAAAAGCGTTGCGACTGTTTCTCATGAAAAGTGTTTATTATGCTAACGAGGGAAGTATCCTTGCTTGTATGAAAAATTTCGATTTTTTAGGATTTATATTGTAGAACGTCAAAAAATAATTGAACATATATTTTGACTTTTTTTACGCCGGCATACGCTTCGCGATTAATTATCATTTTCAGTTACGAATTTTTGTATAGTTAGATCAATGAAAGTGGCTGTAAATGTATTTTAATGAGTTTTCAGTATATTTAGATGTCACATAATGGATGGTAATGTATTGTTTCTACTGTAAAGTGCATGCGACAGCTTTTAGCTGCACAATGAGAGCATACAATGAAAGTAGGCTCATCACAAGTATCTATTCTATATTCCTCATCACCGTTATTGCAGTTTACTGACAATACAATTTCGAAATGTTCGACTATAGCTGAATGTGTATATCCAGTTGCTATGAATATCTTAACATTGGTTGGAATTTTGGGGATGCTGATTGTGCGCTAGTACATGAATAGTTATAATGAATTGCCTTTCTCTTGATTTTCGCTCAGCTTCCTGAGTTGATAAGAAAGTTTTATAAGTAAATAAGTAAATGAATAAATAAATAAATAAAAGAATAATATTTTTTGTTGCCTGTAAAATTGTTTTTGCTCTTTGGTATTGTAAGCAACTTCTTGTCGGCATCTAAATTTTTCTTAAGATCTAATAATGTAAGAATGAATCTCACTTAGCAAGATTCTATAAAATCTCTGTTTGTGCCAAAAATCGGAATCGGTTATTTAAAAAGTCTCAATAAATTTCAGCTCCTAATCAACTGTGAAAAGCTGTCAAGATCTTGATTAGCTTTGATTTCTTTGTGGAATTCGTGCAGCCGAATTTCAGCAAAGAAGACAATAAAGTTATTATTGATGAATTAAGATCTATAAGGCAAGTTTCAAAAATGATCTCAAAAATTGGTGCCATACTTTTTTTACCAGAACTTGTTATCAAATTTTTGTTGAACTTGGAGATGAGCAAGTTGATGGAGTTGATATTTGTGTACTAGGTGTTCAGATGAACTATCACTACATTGGCGGGTTTATAACTCAGCAATTATGCATACTAGAGAGGTATGATATGAGCCATTCGATAGAAAAAATATAAAAGTTTTGTATGGCGCTACTTTGAGAATACATACGGTAAATTGCCAAAGTTGAAAAAGTGTCACCTTTTGCTGTGCGTGATTTTAAAGTTCTTATTTAAAATCTTATTTCTGATGGTCTTATGCTTAAAATGCTCCAATTAATATTTCTTGAGATATCAGTGTTCAAAGTAAGGAAATTCTTCCATAGGAAACAATGGGACTCAGAACGAAAACACGCAATTGAGTCAAATGACAAAAGGAAAAAGACCTATGACCTATAAAGCTCTTATTTTTGAAAAAACCAGTTCAGTTCACTAGAAGTATCCAATCAATTTGTTTACCATAGCCTGGAGAAGATGAAACTTTTTATGGTCGCTATGAAAAAGTACCTGGAAAATCATACGCAAAAGTTGGGTTCAAGAAATTAAATCTAACTGGCAATTTAAATGAGTCGTTTATATGTGCTGGTTACTCGAGGCATGTAAAAGATATATGTTTTCCTAAGCCTGGAAATTCGTTGATGGTCAACGTTGAAAATCATTGGGTACTTGTTGGAATTTCAATAAATAACTTAGACTGTGAGAAACCGGGGTTACCCCACATTTATCGAAGAGTGGGATTTTACTTGGACTGGATAAAAACAATAGTTCGATAGTTATTACAGTGTATACCTTGCTAAAATTAAATAAAGAAAAAATCATTCGACATGTATTTTAAAAGGATTTTAATTTTCACTTTTTTTATCCAATAAATATTACGTCTCAATAATATTGGTTTAGGAATTGGCGGAGGTGAAATCTCAAGACGAGCATTGAATAATTTAAAGAAATTGAAGTCTTTGTTTGTCACGAGAGATGAAGATTCGCAGATTTCATTAAAAAACGTGTAGTGGTGTTTTGCTTGCAGATCTTTGTCCTTGGCTGTGGTTCATTGTATACTCATTTATCTTGGACACATGCGAGTTTTTTAGGTGTCGAATGGAACAACAAAACAATCCGATTGGAAGCAGCTTACTTCCATCCGGATTCCGGAAGCCATCAATGAGGAAATTCAATGAAATGCAAGTGATAACACCATGACCATTGAAGGGGGACGAATCATTAGTAAGGCCATGAGAAAAAATAAATGAAAGCTCCAACAGGTCAACTTCTCAGATTGTCTACTGAAGAAAAGCGGATTTTCATTTATTTTGGAAGCCATGAATGATACTTGAGAGGTTGAAATGACTTGACGTCAGTAGTAGATCGGAGGTGAAGAAGTTGTTGATCTATTAGTTAACGTATTAATATTAATATTTGGCGATTCATCAAAAAACTTTACTGACTTAACATTTTATATGCTAGCAATGTTTCAAGTGAAAATAATTGTTCATATGTTCATAGTTGAATGATAAAATCACTGTGATATTAGAGCAAGTATTCAATCCAAAAGTGTGTTCAAAGCTGAATTTCTAGAAACAAAAATAATCCTCAGTCGTTACTTGACCTCAGCAAAGACTATTTCATGGTGTTTGGAAGAATTTAAGATTGGTTTCTGAAAAATGTTAAGCCTCAACACATTTTCGAATGAAAAAATCACAACTTAATTGAAGAAGCAATTGGTTTTAATCTTACAAAAGAGATGAAATATTTAAAAATATATAAATCAAGGAACATTTTATGTCAAGGAGAAATGGAATAGGAAATTTAAAACCTTTTACTTTTGTCGCATTTCATCTGATTCTGCAGTTGATCCGTCAAAGTTTAAAACTTTACCATTTGTCTGAGATCTTTGTCTAGATACTAATCGTGCTGATTTATTCCGGAACTCTCCAAACCTACGATCAGGAACATCACGCCAGCTTCCAGGTGATCGACTATTGCTAGCGATGACAATTGAATCAACAGATCCGTCCACATGCAAATCACTAGACAAGAAAAGACTTGGTGTTGAGGTTTTGAACATTTCTTCAAACTTTTGATTTGTTCTTGAAGGCAAAATCTTGCTTGAATCTGATGTAAAGAATGAACTTTCTCCTAAATTACGGTAAATTTCACCAACATTGTCACCCAAATGAAGTTTGACTCGTGGATCTGAAGAGCTTTTTGTCAAGCTAGAATAAAAAAATGGTCGAATTTGGTCACGGTGAGGACGAAATCGGGATCTGAGTGGTTCATCTTGAGTCCAAAGTGATGGACTCGCCGGTCTACGATTCCATGTGTTCAGTGGTGAATACAGTGATGAGGGTGAAGAGGATGAAAAAGGCCGTTGGTTGAAAGAAGCATGGTAACTGGACGGTGTGTGATAGTTGGCCACTGGTTGATAGCGAGATGTACTTGGTCGGATTGATGAGTCATTATAACTTGGTGTTGTTTGATAGAGGGAAGTTGAATAACTTGGTCGACGATTATTGGATGATGAGGAATAATTTGAAGTGATTCGATGATCTCCACCATTAGGGTGGCTTGTGCTTGTTTGATATCGAGGAGTTGAATAACCTGGAGTAGTGTAACCATTTGATTGAGGCCGCTTTTGGCTGTTAGACCAAGTTCCTTTTCATTACAAATAAAAACGAAAACGGTAAATCAACTTGTTTTTTGATCAAGATAATTTTTAGTTTTTCACACTCACCTGCGTTATTTCCCTGATGTTGACTCTGGTTTTTTTGTCCATTATTTAACCTAGAAATTGAGTTTCCAGAGCCTTGGCCACCACGACAGGGAACGAAGTTGATTTGTTTGCCATTGGAGACTGTGTCCGATTGCTCTGGGCACAGAATTGACGACTCTTCTTCTCGAAGTCTATTGAGTATAATAAAGTAATAATTAAGCATGGATAAGAGATGTTGATTCTTGTCAAAATTGATATTATTTCTTAATCCTTTAAGTATCAAGAGTTTATCATACCTTGGATCAATGTTGCTCATATATTTTATTGCCAGTCGATCGATTATCATTTTAGGACTAGAGATGAGTTTCAAGGGATTCAATACATCAATGCCTTTGAAAGTCCATTTCATGACAGCTTTCCTTAATGAACCCAAACTTTTTTCATAAGTTACTAGAAAGGTATAAGTTTGACCAGGTTTAAAGCTTGAAAATGTTTCGCTAACTTTGATTCCATCAGCCTTCCTCTTAGAACCTTCAAGATCCAAAGTAAATGATCCAGTGCCTGACTCTGAATTGTTGGCCAAATGAATCTCGATTCCATAATGATGTACTGATCGAAAAAAATAAACAAGAAATTAATTGCAAACATAAAAAGAGATAATTAAGGAGAAACTTACAGCAATATGGAGATTGGGCACCAGTTTTGTAGTAATACTTTTTAAAGGCTGCATCTCTGAATCGGGTTTGCTTTTGTTCTTGAAAAGCTTGGCCTGAACCACGATCAGTTTCACCAAAAATTGATAGAACAGCACATTTCTTTCCATCCGTTCCACAATCTGTACACTTTCCCTTTTCATAATCGTCGTAATTCGAACATTGATAGCCAACAAATTGACAATTTTCAGTCAACTGTTCGGGATTGATGAGCATCAGTCGAGGAGCAAACTGGTGGTTGCATGAAATTGTTTCACTGATGCCTGAAGCAGAGAAACAAAATATGTTAAACTGGCAATTTAATCCAATTTGAAAGGAAGAAGGCCAAAACTGCCTAGAAAGCAATTTTCCTGTGATAAACATATATGATGTAAAACTTTATGATGCATTCATTTTCGAAAGATGCAATATTTCTCCGTCATTGAAAATATGAATCAATAACCAAAGGTGGAGCCACTTTCTGAATGATTTTGTAAGATGTTAAATTCAATTCTGATTGCAATGAAGTAATTTATTCTGATCTACAATGCCGCAAAACTGACCTTTTTGTCGATAAAGGTAATAGTTCTCCTTCAGAGAAAAAACGAAAAATGTATTGAAGAAATGAATGCATCATATTTTCAATGACGGAGAAATATTGCATCTTTCGAAAATATAGAGTTTGCGGCTTTTAGATCAAAATAATAGTTTGAATCATTTTGCAACCGTGTATATGCAACACTAACTTAAATTCGGGATTAAACTATCGGCATTATTGACTTAAAATAATATGTATTCAAGTTCGTGAATTCAATTCAATATTTGAAGCTTTGAAAATATTGCGTCTCAATAATAATGGTTTGGCAATTGGAGGTAAAATATTAGGACGAGCATTAAATAATCTGAAAAATTTGGAAGTCTTTGTTTGTGGTCGAAATATTTTAGAGAATCCAGGAGCCAAAAGAGCGAGCCCTCGTTGTCCAAGTAATTGATTTAAGTGATTTGTCTGTATCTTGTGTCTACAATTGTATTGTTTAGTATTTAACACTTTGCTTTCTGTCTCTCCAACAGTCTGGACAAATTACGTCAAAAAAGGAATAAACTTTTCTGAAATCGAAGCTTAATGAGAAGCTATCAATTCATTATTCAATTCAATTAAATGTAAATGACCATGAAAGAGGGACGGATAAGGCCCTGAAAAAACTTAACCAAAAGCTCTAACAGATCAACTTCTGATTGTCTGTTGAAGAAAGGAAAATTTCTCTTTATTTCTGCCTGATACTGGCATACTTGAGAATTTGAAATGGCTTGAAAAATGAAGGTGACCTAGAATACGAAATAACAAATAAATAAACCGTTTATGGCGCTTTAAGAAGATTAAAGTTCTTGCTATTTAAAGGCAATACATGCAAAGGTTTGTCAGTTCTCATCTTGATCTTTCTCTCGTCAAACTTAAAATGACTTTATTTGTATCTTTTTTGTTGCTTACATTACCCATCATTTCAAATGGACTCCCGTTTTCTCATGAAAAGTCAAACTCGACTTTCCGATCTTATGACAATACATTTATGGATAAAGTTTGTGGTCGCGATACTAACCCAGGAAAAGTGCCATTCTACGCTTCAATAGGATTAGATCATCCAAACGTGCATTACACAATGTGTGGTGGTGTTTTGATTGCAGATCGATGGGTCATGACTGACGTTTTTTGTATATCATATATTTTTGGACCCATACGAGTTGTTCTGGGGGACCAATGGAACAACAAAACAATTGGAGTGGAAGCAGTGCACTTCCATCCGGATATAAATTCTGAACCATCCATGAACAATATTGCCCTTTTATTATTGAAAGAACCAGTCCAGTTTAGTAGGAATATCCAACCAATCTGTTTACCAGAGCCTGAAGAAGATGAAACTTTTCATGGTCGCTATGGGAAAGTTGCTGGTTACGAAAAACTAAGTGAGTTATTCATTCCTTTACTTTTATATATAAAAATAATTAATAATAATTTGTTACTTTATTCTTAAAGTTCCAGGACAGGAAAAACCTACATCTACAAATATGCACATAAATACGTTGCCTATTGACAGATCTGATGATTGTGATGAATTTTTCAAAAAAGTCGTTAAAAAAAATATCACTGATTCCTTTTTTTGTGCTGGTTACCTGGAAGGACGAAAAGATGTATGTTTTCCTGATCGTGGCGATCCGTTCATGGTCAAAGTTCGAAAACATTGGGTAATTGCTGGAATCACATTGATTAATAAGAGCTGTAAGAAGCCTCATGCACTCGATATTTACGTTAGAGTTGGATTTCATTTGGACTGGATTAAAAGAACAATAGAACAAAATAATATTTGAAATGTAGATCGAAAAGATTTAAATTGGTTTTTGGTGAAGATGATTCATAAAAAGATATGTTGTATTTATAGAGTTTCATATATACTTATTATTAAGTAATAAAGTAATAAATAAAGTAAATTCAAGACTTTTATGATAAAGATGATTAATAAGAATATCCTGATGATTACCTCGAGGACTCGACAGATACAGGAGGACCAGAAGTTATCATGAGTTATCAGAAGAAATTCGAGTGTTGGTCGAAGATGAGGAAACTAAAGGGTGCACAAGAAGTAAAGGCTTTTTTCATTGTTGATTATTGAGTTAATACCGATCGAGATTTAATTTTAATTTTTGATAAATCAGTATTTTTTCTCTAGACTTTTCTAATCATCATATTGAAAAGAGTTTTAAAATTGGCTTAAAGATAAGCAAAATAAACCCAAAAACAACCAAAAGCGCTTCTACTTCTTGTGCACCCTTCACTTCAGATTAACTGTGTTCTTCTTTCGTGAAATTAATTATCTTCATCTTCATTTTCATATTTTTCTTCTTCAAAATCATTCCCATCATTATCACTATGATTTGAATCATTTAAAGGATCATTCATCCGAATGATATTTATATCATCTTAATCATTATCTTTATTTCTGCAGACTTTCTGTATAAATCAACATTTATTATTTCTTTCAAACATAAACAGAACTAAACGCTGAGATTCTGCACACACCTTGGAATCAACTAAAGTACCAAAGATCAAGCTTGGTTTTTGTAGCAATCGCAAGTAATTGCAATAACTTTATTGATCCTTTGATTCTTTACAGCTTTGTCTTGGACGAATTCCTGATGCTATCGGTAAATGCAACACGAAAAATTTACCACAAGTCAAAATATGGTTCTCAGACAACGGAATCTAATGAAATTGTTCAAATAATAACCAATAGAGTTTGATTCTTGATTCCCAAAAAGGATGAATGGTTAGACTTATTTTAAACCGTTTATGACTTTAAGAAGATTAAAGTTTTGTCCTATTTAAAGGTAATATATTAAGTGTCGTTTGTTTTTTCTCATCATTATCTATCTCTCGTCTAACTTCTAATAAAATGACTTTATTTGTACCTTTTTTGTTGCTTACATTACCCATCATTTCAAGTGGACTCCAGTTGTATCATGAAAAGTCACAATTTACTTCTCAATCTTATGACAATCAATTGACTGATCAGGTCTGTGGTCGCGATACTACACCAGGACAAGTGCCATTCTACGCTTCAATAGAAGTAAATAGTCGAAAATTTCATTGCAAAAAGTGTAGTGGTGTTTTAATTGCGAGGAGATGGGTTTTGACTGCGGCTCATTGTACATTCAGTGTTTTTGGACCCATACATGTTGTTTTAGGTGACGAATGGAACAACAAAACAATTGGAGTTGAAAAAAGTTACATCCATCCGGATTTTAATCGTCTAACACAAGTAAACAATATCGCTCTTTTATTATTGAAAGAACCAGTTCAGTTCAGTAGGAATATCCAACCAATTTGTTTACCAGAACCCGGAGAAGATGAAACTTTTTATGGTCGCAATGGAACACTGGCTGTATGGGAAAAAATAAGTGAGTTATTTATTCCCTTACTTTATGAATACCAATAATTATTTGTTCCTTTATTCTTAAAGATCAAACAGAGAGAAAATTGCCGACAAATATGCAAATAACCAGTTCGCCGATCATGAAATCTGCTGATTGTTGGGAAATATACGAAAATGCTGGTAACAAGAAATCACCTTACCCTGAGTTGGCTCTGTGTGCTCGTTACCCGGTAGATGTAAAGCCTGTATGTTTTCCTGGGTATGGCAATCCGTTGATGGTCAACGTTGAGAATCATTGGATACTTGCTGGAATTTCAACTAATAAAATAGGCTGTAAGAAGCCATTTTCACCCCACATTTACCTTAGTGTAGGATTTTACTTGAACTGGATTAAAAGAACAGTTTACTAGTTATTATTGTTTGTATCTTTAATCTTGCTAAAATTAAATAAAGAAAATAAAGAAAAAATAGTTGAAATGTATTTGAAACGATTTAAATTTTCACCTTTTTTATCCGATAGCTATTAAGTCTCAATAATAATGGTTTAAGAATTGGCTGAGGTGAAATTTCGAGACGAGCTTTGGTTAATACAAAGAAATTACAGTCTTTGTCTCGAGAGATGAACAAATTGGTGCTCTATTAGTTAGCGTACTTGGCGACTCCTTGAAAAACTTGTCTAACATGAAATCTGAGTAGCAATGTTACCCTTCGCTATTTTGTCTTTCTCTGTTTTGACCTTCTATGTTTCGGCTTTCGCTGTTTTGGCCCTTTACCGAATCAAAAGACACTGAATAAACCAGTGAAGTTCAATAAGTATTATATATTCAACCCATTTTTGAATCTTGCATCTGTATCTTGAATTCATTGTTATCGAAACGACCAGCAGCCATCAAAATGGGCTAGGGTCATCTTAGCAAAAACCAGCAAAGCAAAAGACGATTAAGCAAAGTGCAAAACAGCAAAGGTCATTTGAGCAAATAAAGTAGATTAAATGAAATAAACTTCTTTTGCCTAAATATGCTTAAAATTAAGAGTCTAGAAACAATACATTCATGTTTCATTTCATTATCTATCATAAATTTTTATAAAATGAGTGAAATGAACTGTCAATTGTTGTTTTGTACCGTATGATTTTGATTAGGATTATTTTTATTATTTTAATATTGGATATTTTGATGAATTTCAAATGAAAAGCATTTTCTCGAAATTTTCTTTGCTTTCATGACTTTTGCTCAAATGGCCTTTGCTCAGATGGGCTTTGCTCGGATGGGCTTTGCTCAAATGACCCTGGACCGTTTATTCAATAATAACAGCGTGATATCGTTCTCGAGTTTCTTTTGATTGAAATTGGGATTGAAAGTTACTTTATCCTTCAATTTGTAAAGAAGATATGAAAAATTATTTGAAACAAAACATTGCTACTCAGATTTCATGTTAGACAAGTTTTTCAAGGAGTCGCCAAGTACGTTAACTAATAAAGCAAAAACTTCATCTCTCGAGACAAACAAAGACTTAAATTACTTCTAATTAATCAATATTCGTCTCGAAATCGCGCCTCATGCAATTCCCTAACTATTAAGGACTAAATAGGACAAAACTTTAATCTTCTTGAAGAGTCATAAAAGGTTTAAAATAAGTTAAATCATTCATCCTTTCAGGAATCAAGAATCAAATTTTATTGGTTATTATTTGAGCAATTTTATTAGATTACGTTGTCTGAGAGTCATATTTGTGTCATTTTGTTTACAACTCAGAGGCTGCATTGACTTGTGGTAAAGTTTTTGTGTTGCATTTACCGTTCTCGAGTGTCTTTTGATTCGAATTGGGATTGAAAGTTATTTTATCCTTCAATTTGTAAAGAATATATGAAAAATTATAATTTTTCATATATTGGCCGAGGATTGTTTGAATCAAAGAATCAAGAATCTGCCAATCATCACATTCAATATATGTTTTTGCTGTTGATTGCGAAAAATTACCTTGATATTGAAGAAAAGGACAATCAACAGTAAATTGAGTGTAATAAGATAATGAATTATCATGTAGAACCTTAAGAATTATCTTGGGGTAGGTTGATTAAGAGAGTGGCTCAACTGCAATAAAAAAACATTGTTTAAAGGGTAAATATCACAAGCTGATTGGTAAAGATAGTGATTGATGTCAAGGAAAAAGTGTTGTAGTAATGACATCATTCCTATTTTAATAATTTGGGTTAAAAACAGGTTTAATCCAAAATAGCCTTATTGATTGTCCGACGATGAATCATTTTCAGGCTTGGCATACAAGTTGACAGATCAGCTAGCACCAGTTTACAGCTGGCTCAGATGAATTGGATTAATGAAGTTGAGCCAAATGGATAATTAACACAACAAAAGGTCATTAACTTTTCCCTTTCAAACAAACACCAAAACATTACTAACCGTGTTGTGTGAACATGGAAACCCTTTTATAATAAGTTCAATATAATGAGCGCTAAAATTGAAAACCCTTTTAATATTTAAAAATATTTCCGCACTGAAAAGAAAGTAAACTCATTCAGCCGATAAATATTGACCTTTGTTGGTTTTACAACAAAATTAAATGGTTAAATCAATTCTGCTTTATTAACTGTGTCCAACGCTCTTAATTAATGCTCTTGGGCTGGGTTAGTTAAAGTCCACTTATCAACCAAAAAGCATTGACCACATAAAAGTATATAAATGGCCATTTCTTTAGACTTTTTTGCTCACAAACAAAACATTTTACTTTACTGTGAACACCATTGTACAAAGACAATAAAGTCAACAATCAATATTGATCATGATTTCAAAAAATAATGTGAGTAATTTAATTTCTTTTAATGTTGTTTCCAATATGATTTAACCAAGGCGAGACTTGAATTTACTAAATCTGGATAAGTGTTAAACATTTATAACCTAAATTTAAACCTTATGTATTCTAAAAAGTCCAAATTGAATGACAATTTAACTGTTTCTGTCTATTTTAACAACTTATTATTTTACTGATTATACTAGGCAATCATCAACGTTTTAACAATCATCTATTTGATTGTAATCTTTACCATTGGATCATCATCAGCTTGGAGCATTGGATACTCAATGTATTTCCCTTATTATGGTTACAGTGGAGGAATCGGTTTTCGTCACCCATCTCCACCCATGTGGGGAAGATAATCAGTTAAATTACATTTGTATCAATAACTATTCAAACTGTAACTGCACAATTTGAAAAATTAAAATATACTCCTATTTATAGTTATAAGGAACAAGCTGAGACACGATCATGACTGATCGTAAATTTCTTTTAACCACCCATGCTAACCGTCTTTACACGGTATTGTCCATGTGTTGGATTGAGTGGTGGACAATATGGTGGACAATACGGTGAAAAGATGGTAAAAAACTGGTGAAAAAAGTCGGTCCCCTCTTTCCTCTTTACTCAAATGACAAAGTTTTACATAAAATCCTGGTCCAACAATTCCAAAAGATCACATTACTATTCTTATTTTTGTAATTGAACAGAAATTCATTGAAAACAAGCAACTTGCCACCTCTTTGGAACTGTTAAACTTCCATCATGCTAAGAAATAGATGAATAAATTGGATTCAAATTTTTCCTGCTTATATATTTCAAATAATCAATGTGATCGCAAGATGTTTTCGGAAACAACAAAAGCATTTACTGAACCTTTCCTTGATTCGTGTTAATCCTAATCCTTTTTCCCAAAATTAGCAAGTTACTGCGAATGTATTTGAAAGCTCTCAATTTGCGAAAAGACTCTACACCGGATCAGACAACTGGTTAAACCGGGATTACAAGAAAGGTTTAGATTTTTGTCTTCAAAAGTCAAATTGTCATTTATTACCAATACAACGTATTTGGGTATTATTGGTGGACAAATTGTATCCAATTTTAAATTTGATTGCTACAAAAAAATGTAAATTCAACTGAGCATAAAACAAAGCGTACTAAATAAGCTGACGTTGTTTTTTTGTTGCTTCAAGCTTCAACTATTTAAACCTATTTCATACAATCTTGTTTGTTGAAGAGTGAAGATGAAATTTAGTATTAAAACGTCAAGAAAACAAGTTAATTGTTTGACGACATTAAGGTTTTTTTTAAAAATGAGATTGCTTGTTTGGTGTACAATCAGTTAACATTCAATTGATCCAATCTTCAATGTTTTATCGCATAAATTTAATCAATACAACTAATGCGATCAAAAGCCAATTTACTTCAGTTCATTGTCGATTTAGGCCTACAATTAGTTAAGCCCGTTAGATTTTGATTAGATAGATGCTTTGTTTAGCAAAAATGGCTCAGTTTTAATGAGAATAAGTCTTTAAAATATAAATCTGGGAAATTGTCCCATTTTGAGATAAATCAACTTATAGGTTTATTAATTAAACGATTTTTATTTACAGAGATGAGTTATTCAGTCGATTTGAGTTATCATGATGTAAATGACGGAAATATTCAGATAATTATTCAGATGTTCAATGGAAATACAAATCACTTACAAAATTATGTAACAGGTTATTTTACAAAAAAATATATACAATATTTTTCCACTTATTCATATGGCCTTCTAACGATTCCAATGAAGAGTATAACATTAGTTGCTGTGTCTCTAATCAAGAAAAGAAAAGGTCGATTAACAACAAACCGTGTTGGAAAAGCAGGTCGACCTGATCGAGCGATAAGGACGGCTGTTGATGCGGAAGCTTCGGTTCCTTCTTCATTAACTGAAACATATACTTTATGAACAACTGAATTGACTGTAATCCCCTTTGTTTGTAATTCATGAGTAGTGTTTTTGTTCTTGCCATTTTTGTTAGCAGACGCTGGCTGGAAGAAACCAGATAAGTCGGCAAATCTTGGATCAAATAGCTTCATAATTCCCATTGAGTATAAAGGTCCAGACAGTTCAAGCTCTTGCTCTACTTTAAATTTAGGTAGAACTACAGATATTTCATCGTCAAACATATTGGCCACTACATCCTCTAAATGGCTGGGCTTCAATTGGCGAACCAATGAGTCAACACCTTTACTTGCATCCGGGAGAAGAATTAACATTGAGAAATCTTGATTAGCAAAAGGTTACTCAAGTACAGTACATCGAAGCGCTTCACTGACACCATACATTAAATTGGCGGTTAACTTCATGAAAGGAATCTGAATAGATTCAACAGGGGTAACATGGAAAGTGCCTATTTCAGTTTTTGAAGCATCAAACTGGTTGTACCATTCAGCATGGAAATAAATTGCATTGGCAATGATAATTGTTGTCCGTTGGGTCACACTGCCAGGTGGAATGAGATCTTTTATTTTACCGTGAGTTTCCTCTTCAATCCAAGAGTTGATTGCTTTAAGAGCACCACCCGGGTTAGAAGTAAAGTCCATAGACTCGGCTTCAGTCGCAAAATGTTGCTTGATGCAATCATTGAGGGTTAAAGCATCATTGATGAAAATTTTATTCGCAATGAAATAGGCTTGTTTTTTGGAAGTCTCCTTGGTCACTAAAGAAACGTTTCTCTTCAATTGGTACCAAAAACGTAATCCCTGATATGCCATACCCACAGCATGTTTAGGAACATTATTTAAACCAAGAACTGACCTTAACTCACGATCAGTTTCATGACTAGCTCCCATGTAAGAAACAAGAAGAGCTGACCAGATTGAGAACGGACTGAGAATTAATCCAGGGGACGAATCTTTAGATTCAAAGTTGTGAAGAGAACGCAAGATGTCAATTGAAAATTTATGTAAACCAGAAATCAGTGTTCTGGAATATTCAGATGGACTATCAGAAAGATGTCCATTGGCAACATCATCGTCATCGTAACATTTTTCATAGGAACCGATTAACGATGGTTTAGATGTTTGGTGGAGAAGATCCAGAAGACGAAGGTAATTTAGGGGCAGATTTTGGTGATTGTTGTGGTAGGTTATAACTTTTGCAAACTCCACACAATATAATTAATAAAATTATATATTTGACTGGAATAGTGAATGATGTCAACATATCGCGTTTGAACGGATTTGGGTCATTTTGAGCAACCAATTTTGAGCAAACCTTTTTTGAGCAAAGCATCTTAAGGGTAAAAAGGTTTTAAGCAAAAATCTTTGTAATTTAAAATTCATCTTGGATCAATCTACTCGTGGTGCTGATTTATTAGTTTTGAACAATTACGTTCAATATATTTTAATATTTTAGCAATATTTTTCCAGGCCGAACGCAATGTAAAATTTTTGCTCAAAAGATATCGCTCAAATCAGCTTTGCTCAACCGCAGAGTTGCTCAAAATTGGTTGCTCAAATTAAACTCTACGGTTTGAACGAGTTAAAGATGGGTTAAGTTGAAATGCTAGTTTTGTAAAGTTGACCTTGTTAATCCTATTGGAAAGAAGAGACTAAATCGACTTGTTTCTCCAACTTACTTCAAAAGTTGTTTTGAAATTGAGCATCTAAAAGATACTAATAATAGTAGCGATATCAGTATCTTTATCCAACTACTTTTGAAGCGCCTTTTTCAATTTTACAACAAAAAATAAAAATCACAATAATTATATCAAATTTATATCAAAACAATTACTATTCTCGACAAACAACTAACACAGCAAATTTACAAAATTATACTCACCATAGAACCAACAATTCAACACTTAAATAGGCAATATAACAATTTACCTCTGTAATTGATCACTAATTTAAGTTTGATAGATAAGTTTGATTGATAGTAAGTTAGTAGACCTGAAAAAATCATTGGGAATATTTAAAACGCTATATAATGTCTGCTTCCACAGCTGAATAAAAATAAGAGTAAATTGATGATTATTCCAACTAAAATCAGAAAAATCAAATAAATTTGTAAAATCAGACATTATATAGCGTTTTAAATATTTCCAATGATTTTTTCAGGTCTACTAACCCCGAAAAATGAATTAAAGTTAGAAAAAATTTTAGGTAAACTTTGCATTTTTTGCAAGAATTGCGGGTTTTGCGAGTTTTGACATCAATTTTCTCGTGACCCGAAAGTTTCCTATTCAAAGCCGACAAACCCTTATCCTAGTTTTTTATACTCTATCGAATGAACATAGTCCCGATCGGAAATTATTGAGACACCGGAGACACTGGCCTTGTAAGAAATAAATGACTCTCTTAGTTTTTCCCAGCCAGCAACTCTCCCATAGCGACCATAAAAAGTTTCATCTTGTCCAGGTTCTGGTAAACAAATTGGTTGAATACTCCTGCTGAACTGAACTGGCTCATTCAAATATAAAAGAGCAATATTGGGCATGGGTCTTTCAAGAGTAAAATCCGGATGGATGTAAGCACCTTCCACTCCAATTGTTTTGTTATTCCATTTTTCCCCTAGAACAACTCGCATAGGATCAAGAAGACGGGTTATAAAATAAGCCTCAGTCAAGACCCATCGATCTGCAATCAGAACACCACCGCGCAATTTTTAATGCTCGGTTGGATGATCTACTTCTATTGAAGCGTAGAACTTTCCGTATCGCGACCGCAGACCTGATCAATAAATTCATTGTCATGAGATGGGAAAGTCGATTGTGACTTTCCAGAAGACAACTGGAGTCCATTTGAAATGATGGGTAATGAAAGCAACAAAAAAGATACCAATAAAGTCATTTTGAGTTTGACGAGAAAAAGATGAAGCATTATTACAAAAAGCCATGCTTGATGATTCGTACTGTAGTTGTTTCCAAGGTGCGAGCAGTATCCTAGTTTGGTTTGATTTAAGTTTGAAAGAAGAAAAAAAATGTTGATTTAAACAGAAAGTCCACAGAGATTAAGATGTTGATTAAGATGCTATAAATATCACTTCGAGCTTTGGTTTAGTTTTTTAAGACCTTACCAATGATTCGTTTTCCTTTAATGGTCATTGTGTTATCACTTACATTTAATTTCATTTTCAAATTGATGGCTTCTTATGAAGTCTCGATTTTAGAAAAGTTTATTCTATTTTGACGTTAGCTGTTCAGACTGTTGAACTGACAGAAAACAATTAAGTGTTCCGACTCCCCTCTTTGATGTAAGTGAGATAATAAAGCTTGAGCTGATTCATAAGAAGACCTTTCTCAATTAATATTTTGATTAACAAATCATTTAACTCTTTTAAAACGTTTTCTGGTAAACTAGATCTCGATTCATTAGATCCTTCAGTAGTAATTTTCACAAAAGTTAAACACAATTGATCTAAAGTAGTTTCCTCATCTTCGATAAACTATCGAATTCCTCTGATATCTCATCTAGGCGCAATCCACTTGCATCTGTTGAGTCCTCGAGTTAATCATTAGGATATTCTTCTTGTTCTTCATCTGTCCCGAGAGAAAGATGTTTAATGATAAATTATATTTTGTCCAGGAAAGATTTTCGAGGAATCACCAAATACATGAAATGAAAGATCAACATATTCTTCTTCCTTAACCATCTTTATTGAGACGTAATATTTGCAAATCTTCATGAATCACGTTCCGCAATGAACGTTCCATTTTGACATTAATTATAGCTGTCCGAATGTTGCCATAAGATTCGTGTTCTTCTTGGTCACCTTCATCTTCCCTGAGAAATAATCATCCTTTTGATTGAATACTTACTCTAAAGTAAGTAAAGTTTACTGAGGAATCTCCAGATGCGTTACTTTAAACATCAAAAACTTAAACATTCAACGCAAACATATAATTATATTTATTGCACCAAAGAAACAGGATGAAAATTTAAATCGTTTCAAAATATATTTCATTTGTTTCTTTATTTAATTTTAGCAAAATTGAAGATAGTAACTTTAATAACTAGAAAACTGTTCTTTTAATCCAGTCCAAGTAAAATCCTACTCTAAGAAATCCTGTAAGACAAAGGCGGGGTGAAACAGTATTCTGACAAGGTACGTTATTCATTGAAATTTCAGCAAGTACCCAATGTTTTTCAACGTTGACCATCAACGGATTGCCAAATGAAGGAATAAATACGTCTTCTACATCATTGGTGTAACCAGCACACATAAACGACTCAGTGATAATTGGTTTGTTGAACCCAACTTTGTCGTAATATTCACCACAATCATCAGATCTAATTATGGTGGTTATTTGCATATTTGAGCCTTCAATTTTTCTTCCCCATGGATCTTTAAGAATAAAAGAATAAAAAATTTCAATTGTTAGGTATGAATAAAGAAAGAGAATAAATCACTCACGTGGTTCTTTGAAGCCAGTAACCATCCCAATGCGACCATAAAAAGTTTCATCTTCTCCAGGTTCTGGTAAGCAAATTGGTTGAATATTCCTACTGAACTGAACTGGTTCTTTCAATAATAAAAGAGCGATACTGTCATGTGTTGAATTAAAATCCGGATGGATATAAATTTTTTCAACTCCAATTGTTTTGTTGTTCCGTTCGTCACCTAAAACAACTTGTGGAGTTGCAATGTAATGTTCATAATGGCCCACAGTCAAGACCCATCGATTTGCAATCAAAACACCACTATACATTGTGTAATGACCGGTTGTATCATCATATTCTATTGAAGCGTAGAATGGCACTTGTCCTGGGGTAGTATCGCGACCACAGATCTGATAAGTCAATTCATGGTCATAAGATTGGGAAGTCGATTGTAACTTTTCATGAGACAATGGAAGTCCATTTGAAATGATGGGTAAAATAAGCAACAAAAAAGACACAAATAAAGTCATTTTAAGTTTGACGAGATGAAGATGAAGAAGGGAACTGACACAACGAATCTTAAATAGCAAGCGTTTCAATCTTCTTAACCAGTCCTAAACGGTTTAAAAACATGTATGAGTTAAAACAAAATTATTATCCTTTCAGGAACCAAGAATTAAGGCTCTTCTCGAAATTCACCCCCCCAATGAGTCCTAATCAGTCCTAAACAAAAGAATCTCTGGAGGTAACAATCTCAACCGTTGGACCTGGTGTTTGAACCATCTAATGCTGTTACCCCTATGTATTGTTGAATAAAATAACTTTTAATTGTAACCCCATTAAATATAATTAAATATTAATCTTTTGACCAATAATAGCAATAGTTTTGAAGAGTATGAAGATGAAAATGAAAATGAAGATGACGATATTGATGATGTTTCCCTCCATCAAAACGATAAACAGCAACAACAGATTCAAAGAATTTCCAATTCATCTTATAAATCAGAAAATTCATCTACAATAATATCAACTCCATCAACTTGCTCATCTCCAAGTTCAACAAAAAATTCAAAAGATGGCTCATCTCGACGAGAGCATTTATTAAAACAACTTTAGGCTGTAGAATCTATGATTGCCAAACTCCAGTGACTTAGTCATCTTTTTGGTTAAACTTAACACTAATTATAGCTGCCATAAGATTCGTGTTCTTCTTGGTCACCTTCAACCTCCCTGAAAAATAGTCATCCCTTTTGATTGAATACTTACTCTAATATCACAATGACTTAAAAAGTTCTTCAACTCAAATACATTAAAATAATATTTATTGCACCAAAGAAAAAGGGTGAAAACTTAAATAATTTCAAAATACATTTAATAAATAGAAGTTAAAAATGTAATAATTAGTAAACTGTTCTTTTAATCCAGTCCAAGTAAAATCCTACTCTAACGAATCTTGTACGATAAATGCGGGGTGATACAGCATCCTGACAAGGTACATTATACATTGAAATTCCAGCGAGTATCCAATTGTTTTCAACGTTGACCATCAATGAATTGCCAAGATGAGGAATAAATACATCTTTTACATCATTAGAGTAACCAGCACACATAAACGACTCAGTGATTGATTTGTTCCACCCAACTTTTGCGTATGAATCACCACAATCATCGGATCTAATTATCGGCGAAGTGGTTATTTGCATATTTGAAGGTAATTTTCTCTCCCATGGATCTTTAAGAATAAAGGAATAAACAATGTCAATTGTTAAGTATGAATAAAGAAAAATGATGTATCACTCACCTAGTTTTTTGAAGCCAGTAACCTTCCCATAGCGACCATAAAAAGTTTCATCTTGTCCAGGTTCTGGTAAACAAATTGGTTGAATATTCCTACTGAACTGAACTGGTTCTTTCAATAATAGAAGGGCGATATTGTTTTTCTCTTGATTGAAATCAGGATGCATGTAAATTTTTTCAACTGCAATGGTTTTGTTGTTCCATTCGTCACCTAAATCAACTCGTATGGATCCACGAGAACCGAGTTTACAATAGCCCAAAGTCAAGACCCATCGATTTGCAATCAAAACACCACTACAATATTTGTAATGCCATTTTTGATTTTGCAATTCTATAGAAGCGTAGAATGGCACTTTTCCTGGGGTAGTATCGCGACCACAGACCTGATAAGTCAATTCATTGTCATAATATTGGGCAGTCGATTGTAACTTTTCATGAGACAACGAGAATCCATTTGAAATGATGGGTATTGAAAGCAACAAAATAGATACAGATAAAGTCATTTTAAGTTTGACGAGAGAAAGATCAAGATGAAGGGAACTGACAAATTGAATCTTCTTGTTCTGTCTTTAAATAGCAAGAGTTTCAATCTTCTTAACGAGCCATAAACAGTTTAAAAACAAGTATGAGTTAGAACAAAACTACATTACAAAAGTGTATTATCTTTGACGGAAGATTGTGGCCAAACTAAACGTTTTCTGAAGAAAATTTTCACATAGGATGAAAGCCATGATTAAAAAACTATCGCAAAAAATTCGAACTTTCTCGGAGTTCAGGTTACTGAGAAATCAGCGTTCAAACAGGGTAGGGGAAAAAACAGAATCCGTATCTTTTACTATTGACTTTGGGGAAAAACTTTTTGGTTATTCAGGTTGATGCTTTATTGTTGGTTTAGAAGGATAAGTAAAACTGTTTTTGAGTAAAGAGTTGCGTGAAAATATGGTACCTTAACTGTACAAAAAGATTTCATTTTGTTCAGTTGTATAACCAGATTTTATTTTATTTTTTATTTTTTCTCCTTGACGATGGTTTTTTTCATCAAGAATTTGAGTCTTTAAATAAAGATTGAATTTATTGTATTCAGTAAGGGTGGCTTTTCCCACCAAAAAACGGTAAGAATACCGTTTTTTCACCGTATTGTCCATCAATCAATCTAACCCATCCACCATATCAACCAAATCAACCCAAACAAACATCATCACATTTCAATCATCACCTTTGGCCCTACAACGCAAACAAAGATGCACGTGATGACATTAATTATAGCTGTCCGAATGTTGCCATGAGATTTCGACTCTTCTTGGTCACCTCCATCTTCCCTGAGAAATAGATGTTGAAAGATAAATCATCCCTTTTGATTGAATACTACCCCTAATATCACAATGACTTAATCAGTCATCTTGTCAAGAACATATGAACATTTATCTGCACCAAAAATATTGTTACTCAGATTCACCGTTTGATCAGTAAAGTTTACTGAGGGATCGCCAGATTCGTTACTTTAAACATCAAAAACTTAAACATTCAACTCAAACATATTATAATAATTATATTTATTGGACGGAAAAAAGGGTAAAAATTTAAATTGTGTCAAAATACTTTTAAACTATTTTTTTCTTTATTTAATTTTAGCAAAATTGAAGATAGTAACTGTAATAACTAGAGAGCTGTTCTTTTAATCCAATCCAAGTGAAATCCGACTCTAAGATACATGTGGGGTACAACAGGCTCATAACAATCTACATGTATGTTATTCTTTGAAATTCCAGCAAGTACCCAATGTTTTTCAACGTTGATCATCAATGGATTGCCAGGTTGATAATTACATACATCTTTTACATCGTTGGAGTAACCAGCACACATAAACGAATTGTTGATAAATGATGTGTTGGACCTCCGCCGATTTGTAAGCCATTATTCTTAAGATGTAATATAAATTGGACAAAAAGAGACGAAATTTTGTTAGTTTCAAAGTACATTTCAACTAATATTATTTTCTTTATTTAATTTCTGCAAGATAAAAGGTACAAACTGTAATGACTAGTGAACTGTTCTTTTAATCCAATCCAAGTGAAATCCTACTCTAAGATAAATCTCGGGTAAAACCGGCTTCTCACAGTCTATGTTATTCATTGAAATTCCAGCAAGTACCCAATGTTTATCAACGTTGACCATCAACGGATTGCCAGGCCCAGGAAAACATACGTCTTTTACATCACTCGGGTAACCAGCACATATAGACGACTCAGTTAAAGCAAATTTTTTGAAACCGCTGAACCAAACTTTTGCGTATGATTCTCCACATTCATAATGTTTAATGATCGGCATAGTGGTGATTAGATGTTTTGGAGGTAATTTTCTCTCGTTTCGATCTTTAAATTAAAGGAATGGAAAATGTTAATTGTTTAGATGAATAAAGGAAATGAATAAATAACTCACTTATTTTTCCCCAGACAGCCAGTGTTCCATGGCGACCATAAAAAGTTTTATCTTCTCCAGGTTCGGGTAAACAAATTGGTTGGATACTTTTACTGAACTGAACTTTTTCTTTCAATAATAACAGGGCGATATTGTTTTTCTTTTGATTGAAATCCGGATGAATGTGAATTTTTTCAACTCCAATCGTTTTGTTGTTCCATTTGTCACCTAAAACAACTCTTACGGTTCCAGAAGAACTGAATGTACAATGGGCCACAGTCAATACCCATCGATTTGCAATTAAAACACCACTACACTTTTTATAATAAAAGATTGAATCATCTACTTCTATTGAAGCGTAGAATGGCACTTTTCTTGGGATGGTATTGCGACCACAGACCTGATCAGTCAATTCAGTGTCAAAAGATTGGAAAGCCGATTGCGACTCTTGATGAGACAATGGGAGACAGTTTGAAATGATGGGTAATGTAAGCAACAAAAAAGATACAAATAAAGTCATTTTAAGTTTGAGATTAGAGTTTAAGATGAAGATGAGAACTGACAAATTGAGTCTTTTCGTTTTGTTTTTAAATAGCAAGCGTTTCAATCTTCTTAACGAGCCATAAACGGTTTAAAAACAAGTATTAGTTAAAACAAAATTATTAATCCTATCAGGAATCAAGAATCAAGGCTCTTCTCGAAATTTACCTCCCGCAATGACTAAACATTGATTATTATTATTATTATTATCATACAAGAAACTTATGCTATGATTACTGATCGCAAGTTTCTTCTAACCATGTATGCTGAATTCAATTAAAACTCAATTTCTTAATGAAGAAAACCATCTTCTTAACGAGGCCTAAACGGCTTAAACAAGTCAAATTCTTAATCGTACTAATCGTCTTAATCTTAGGGAAGCATCGACTTGAACTTTTTTCAAATGATAAGTTAGTTAATGGTCCTCTTAAGTCTCCTGATCCATACTCACTCTTGGTCAAACCTAAGTGAGATAACAAAGCAAAATAGAGAAAGTCGCATCCGCGAAAAATATCGATGCACACATTGCTGCGTAGATGCAAAAATTTTCATTTTCTTTTTTTTGATCAGTTCATAATTAGTTATTACAAGTGGAGCCCCCGATCATGACTGATCGCAAATTTATTCTCACTGTGTACGATGCATTCAATCCACAATTAAAGACTCAAATTCTGAGTTAAAAATTTTTTCAGATGAACAATCGTTGATGAAATTGACTTGAAATTTGTCATTTGGTTTTCGTACAGTTGAGGCACCAGATTATTAACCAAACTCTTTACTTGAAAGACAGTTTTGCATAAATTCCTAGTTCAACAATAATCCATCAAACTAAGTACCAAAAAGCTTTTCCCCTAAAAACAATGCTACAAAATACGGATTCTGCATTTTTCCCTACCCTGTTTGAACGGGAACTTCTGAGCAAAGCAACAAAGCATTGTGTTTAATTTTCAGAAGAAAAAACTTTAAACAGTTTAATTATTTTGCTTCTTATTTTTACCTACTTTAGCTATTTTTCCTTTCTCTGTTTGAACCCTTTACCTTCAGACGACAATCTGAGAAGTTGACCTGTCGGCGCATTGGTTTAGTTTTTTTCAAAGCCTCAACAATGATTCGTTTCCCTTCAATGGTCACTGTGTTATCGCTTACATTTATTTATAATAAATATCATTGATGGTTTGATCACTCTCCGAAAAAATGAGTTTATGATTGCATACCAAGACGGCAGACTCAAATATATTGTAAAAATTATATTTAATGTACTAAAGAAAAAAACTGAAAATACAAATCATTTCAGAATACATTTTAAATATTATTTTGTTCTATTGTTCTTTTAATCCAGTCCAAGTAAAGTCCAATTCTTAGGTAATTATCAAGTGCATGAGGCAAATCACAGCTCACGTTAATCGATGTGATTCCAGCAATTACCCAATGTTTTTCTACTTTGACCATCAATGGATCGCCACGATCAGGAAAACACGCCTCTTTTCGTCCTTTCGGGTAACCAGCACAAAAAAAGGAATCAGTGATATTTTTCCTATTGACTTCAGATTTTACGTAAAATCTTCGACAAGTTTCAGATTTTATGATCGGCAAACTGGTTACATAAATATTTGGCTGTAATTTTGTCTTTTTTTGATCTTTAAGAATAAAGTAACAAATAATTATTAATTATTGTTATTAATAAAGAATAGAAATAAATGACTCACTTAGTTTTTCCCAGCCAGCAACTCTCCCATAGCGACCATAAAAAGTTTCATCTTGTCCAGGTTCTGGTAAACAAATTGGTTGAATACTCCTGCTGAACTGAACTGGCTCATTCAAATATAAAAGAGCAATATTGGGCACGGGTCTTTCGTAAGTAAAATCCGGATGGATGGCAGCACCTTTCACTCCAATTGTTTTGTTGTTCCATTCGTCCCCTAGAACAACTCGCATGGGATCAAGAAGACTGATTATGAAATAAGCTTCAGTCAAGACCCATCGATCTGCAATCAGAACACCACCGCGCAATTTGTAATGCTCGGTTGGATGATCTACTTCTATTGAAGCGTAGAATGGTATTTTTCCTGGGTTAGTATCGCGACCGCAGACCTGATCAATAAATTCATTGTCATGAGATGGGAAAGTCGATTGTGACTTTCCAGAAGACAACGGGAGTCCATTTGAAGTGATGGGTAATGTAAGCAACAAAAAAGATACAAATAAAGTCATTTTGAGTTTGACGAGAAAAAGATGAAGATGAAAACTGAAACAACGACTCTCGTCGTTTTGCCTTTAAATAGCAAGAACTTTAATCTTCTTTAAGATTCATAAACGGTTTAAACTGATCAAATCATTCATCCTTTTTGGGAATCAAAAATCAAACTCTATTAGTTTTTATTTGAACAATTGCATTAGATTCCGGTGTCTGAGAGTCATATTTGTGTCATTTTGTTTACAACTCACAACTCGTTGCATTGGTTTGTGGTAAAGTTTTCCTCTTGCATTTACCGTTGATGTAGGAATCTGTCCAAGATAAAGATTTAAAGCACCAAGGGATTAATTGGGTAACGCAATAACTTGAGATTATTACAAAAAGCCATGCTTGATGATTCGTACTGTAGTTGTTCTAAAGGTGCGAGCAGTATCCTAGTTTGGTTTGATTTAAGTTTGAAAGAAGAAAAAAAATGTTGATTTAAACAGAAAGTCCACAGTGATGAAGATGTTGATTAAGATGATATAAATATCACTTCGAGCTTTGGTTTAGTTTTTTATGGCCTTACCAATGATTCGTTTTCCTTTAATGGTCATTGTGTTATCATTTACATTTAATTTCATTTTCATATTGATGGCTTCTTATGAAGTCTCGATTTTAGAAAAGTTTATTCTATTTTGACGTTAGCTGTTCAGACTGTTGAACTGACAGAAAACAATTAAGTGTTCCGACTCCCCTCTTTGATGTAAGTGAGATAATAAAGCTTGAGCTGATTCATAAGAAGACCTTTCTCAATTAATATTTTGATTAACAAATCATTTAACTCTTTTAAAACGTTTTCTGGTAAACTAGATCTCGATTCATTAGATCCTTCAGTAGTAATTTTCACAAAAGTTAAACACAATTGATCTAAAGTAGTTTCCTCATCTTCGATAAACTATCGAATTCCTCTGATATCTCATCTAGGCGCAATCCACTTGCATCTGTTGAGTCCTCGAGTTAATCATTAGGATATTCTTCTTGTTCTTCAAGTTCTTCAGGCTGTTTTGGGCACAAACCTCTCCAGGCTCTGAAAAATGGGTTGAATATACTTATTGAACTCTACTGCTTCATGCAATAATGAAAACGCGGTATCATTCTGGAGTGTCGTTTCATTAAAATTGGGATTGAAAGTTACTTTATCATTCAATTTGTAAAGAATATACAACATGTATACATGTATGAAAAATAATTTCAACCAAAACATTGAAACTCAGATTTCATGTTGACAAAGTTTTTCAAGGAGTCGCCAGAGTACGTTAACTAATAAAGCAAAAACTTCATCTCTCGAGACAAACAAAGACTTAAATTTCTTCTAATTAATCATTGTTCGTATCGAAATAGCGCCTCATGTAATTCCTTAACTATTATTATCGAGATGAAATATTTATTGGATTGAAAAAAGTGAAAATTAATAATTTCAAGCTACATTTCGACTATTTTTTCTTTATTTTTGTTAATTTAAGCATTGTTGAAGGTATGAACTATGATACAACTATAACTAGTAAACAGTTGTTTTAATCCAATCCAAGTAAAATCCAACACTGAGATAAATGCTTGGCGAATACCGCTTCTCACAGCTTAAGTTTTCCAGTGAAATTCCAGCAAGTACCCAATGTTTTCCGACGTTGACCATAAACGCATTGCCCGACCCAGGAAAACATACATCTTTCACGTCATCTGGATAATGAGCACACAGAGCCAACTCAGGGTAAACTGATTTCTTGAAGCCAGCATTTGCGTATGGTTCCCAACAATCATCAGATCTAATGATCGGCAAACTGGTTTTTTGCATATTTGTTGGTAATTTTCTCTCTGTTTGATCTACAAGAATAAAGGAACAAATAATTATTGGTTTTATTAAAGAATATAATTATTAATATATTAATAAAGAAAATGAATAAATGACTCACTTATTTTTCCCCAGACAGCCAGTGTTCCATTGCGACCATAAAAAGTTTCATCTTCGCCAGGTTCTGGTAAACAAATTGGTTGGATATTCCTACTGAACTCAACTGGCTCTTTCAAATATAAAAGACCAATATTGTTTTCTTGTGTTCGACGATTATAATCCGGATGGATGTAACCTTTTTCAACTCCAATTGTTTTGTTGTTCCATTCGTCACCTAAAACAACTTGTATGGGTCCAAAAACACTGAATGTACAATGAGCCGCAGTCAAAACCCATCTCCTCGCAATTAAAACACCACTACACTTTTTGCAATGAAATTTTCGACTATTCACTTCTATTGAAGCGTAGAATGGCACTTGTCCTGGTGTAGTATCGCGACCACAGAGCTGATCAGTCAATTGATTGTTATAAGATTGAGAAGTGTATTGTGACTTTTCATTAGACAACTGGAGTCCACTTGAAATGATGGGTAATGTAAGCAACAAAAAAGATACAAATAAAGTCATTTTAAGTTTGACGAGAGAAAGATCAAGATGAGAACTGACAAAACGACCCTGCTTGTACTGCCTTTAAATAGGACAAAACTTTAATCTTCTTAAATAGTCATAAACAGTTTAAATGAGTCAAATTATCCATCCACTTCGGGAATCAAGAATAAAACTCTATTGGTTATTATTTGAACAATTTCATTAGATTTTGTTTAGATCAAAGAGTAATATGTATTACTTTTTAATCAAGATGATATAAATATCATTTCGGATGAATGATATTATAACTGATTCAAATCATAGTGATAATGATGGACATTAATTGAAGAAGAATATGAAGATGAAAATGACGATATTCATGATGTTTTCCTTCATCAGAAAGATAAGCACCAACATACTCATAGAATTTTCAATTCATCTTGTAAATCAGAAAAGTCATCTACAACTCCAACAACTTGCTCATCCCAAGCTCAACAAAAAATTGAAAAGATGGCTCATCTCGAGCATCAAACGAAACTTGAGGCTATAGAGGCTATGATTGCCAAAAAGAAAGCCAAACTCCATTGATTCAGCCATCTTGTCAGGTTAAACTAATTTAACTTTTTCTATTCATAAAAAGCCTTATAAATTCACAATTGTATTTTTCTGAACCTATTGGAATCCTTTTCTCTCTTCTCCTTCCCTTCCCTTTAGCCCTTAAAGAACACAAAAATCTACTTTATGATGCGATCGACGATAGCTGTTCGTATGTTTTGCTATGATTTTTATTACTTTAATGATTGATTTCAAGGGTATCAAAAAACCACTGGTTGTTTTTTTTACCACTGACTTTTGCTTCAATTTTGAATAAGTTTGACTTAATCAAAAGACTCAATAATTTTAAGGACACAAGAGCATCGATATAGGTGTATGTAGACCATTTGCTGACTCAATCGGAGTTAATTAACTATAATTAATTAGCTTAGCAATATCCATAGAAAGGACTTTTTTGAAATTTAAATTGATATCATTTAAGCAGCTTTGTATTTGGCTGAGAACTGACAAAATAATATTCTGTTTTGTCTTGAATAGCGACCACTTTAATCATCTTAACGAGTTATAAACGGTTTAAAAACGTGTCAAATCATTAGTCCTTTCAGGAACAAAAAATCAAGTTTTATCGGAAATTAGCCTCATGCAAGTTTCCCTGTTGCATTTGTAACAATAGGAATTCGTCCAAGAGAATTTTTTAAAGCATCGACTTTTTTCAAACGACAAAAGAAATTAGTTAATATTAAATGAACCTCAAGTCTCCTGGATCCATCTTCACTCTTGATTAAATCCAAATATAATAATAAAGCTTGAGCTTATTCATAGGAGGACGCTTTCTCAATCAATCTTTTGATTTTCTGGTGAACAAGAAACTGATTGATTGAATCCATCAGTATTTACACGTTCATCATTTCAATTATTAAAACAAGAAACTAATGCGATCATGGTTGATCGCAAGTTTTTTTTAGCCACCCATGCTAACCGTCTTTTCACGGTAATGTCCACCACTCAATCTAACTCATCCGCCAAATCAACTAAATCAAACATCACTTTTTGTCCATCACTTTCATTAACCACTTTAGAGTGAATTTTTTCCACCAAATTTTCAAACACTTTTTGAGATATGATGGCGATTAATAGCGGACTTGCTAGATGGTGTAAAAGTGGTCAAGAGGGTGCCGGCCAATTTCGTTGACAATTTGGTTGAGAAAAGTCTTTTTAAAAAGTGATGTTGTTTAGGTTGATTTGGTGGATTGAGTGGTAGACAATATAATGAAAAAAGCCTCTCTTAACTCTTTACTCAAATGACAAATTTTTACATAAAATCCTGGTCCAACAATGAACCATCAATCTGAATAACAAAAAATTTGTTCCCCCTTTTTCAATGTTATTGAATACGGATTCTACAATTTTTCCCCCAACCTCTATTTTCATGAATTTCTCAGAGATCTGAATTCTGAGGCGAGGTTTCCTATTTTTCGTGGATGTAGTTGAATTCGGGCTTTCATGCTGTGTAATTTTTTTTCTTAGAACCTGCTCAGTTTGGCCACAATCTTGACACAAAAATTTGATACATTGACTTTATATATTGTGTAGATGTGTAGATGTGTAGATTTAGATGACGATACAATCTTAACAAAACTACATGAAAAAGAAGAATACCAAAAGGTGTACTTGATGATTTAACTGAAGATATCTAACGATGCTATCCAAATGTTTCGATAAGATTCGTATTCTTCTTGGTCACCTTCATCTTCCCTTAGGAAAAGATATCGAAGGATAAATTTACAATTAGTTTATCACTTTTGGGTTGAATTCTTACTAAATATCACAGTTACTTTATCATTCAACTCGTCAAGAATATATGAACAATCATCTTCATCAATAAAGTTTTCGAGGAATCGCCAAATACTAGACCATCGACTTCACCTTCGATCTCATTACTACTGACGACAAGCCATTTCAAACTCTAAAGTATGCCAGTATCATTCATGGCTTTAGATATAAATGAAAATTCTCATTTCTTCAGTAGAGGATCTAATAAGTTGACCTGTTCGAGCTTTGGCTTGCTTTTTCTCAAGGCCTAACCAAATGATTCGTCCTCCTTTAATGGTTATTGTGTTATCACTTACATTTAATTGAATTTGTCTATTGATAGGTTCTCATTAAGCTTCGATTTCAGAAAAGTTTATTCTTTTTTGACGTAAGTTGTCCAGATTGTTGGAGAGACAGAAAGCAAATTGTTAAAAACTAGACAATACAATTGTAGACACAAGATACTGAAAAATCACTTAAATCTCGAATCTTCCTGAATCACTCTCCAAAAAAGAGCTTTTGATTGCATATTAAGACAAGAGACTCAAACATATTTTAAAAATTACATTTAATGCGTCGAAGATAGCAGGTGAACATTTAAATCTTTTCGGAATACATTTCAACTATTATTTTGTTCTATTGTTCTCTTAATCCAGTCCAAGTGCAATTCAACTCTAACGTAAATATCGAGTGCATGAGGCCTCTTACAGTCCACGTTAATCAATGTGAATCCAGTAATTACCCAATGTTTTCGAACTTTGACTATGAAAGGATCGCCACGATCAGGAAAACATGCATCTTTTTGTCTTTTCGGGTAACCAGCACAAAAAAAGGAATCAGTGATATTTTTGTCCATGACTTTTTCGAAAAATTTATCACAATCATCAGATCTGTCGATAGGCAAACTGGTTATATGCACATTTAAAGGTGTAGGTTTGTTCTCGGTTCGATCTTTAAGAATAAAGTAATAAATTATTATTAATTATTGTTATATATAAAAGTAAAGGAATGAATAACTCACTAAACTTTGGTCGGCCAGCCACTTTCCCATAGTGACCATGAAAAATTTCATCTTCTCCAGGTTCTGGTAAACAGATTGGTTGGATATTCCTACTGAACTGAACTGGTTCGTTCAATAATAAAAGGGCGATATTGTTCATAGGTGTTTCACGACCTAAATCCGGATGGGTGTAAATGTTTTCCACTCCAATTGTTTTGTTGTTCCATTCGTCACCTAAAACAACTCGCATGGGTCCCCAAATTGTCCCTATACAATAAGCCTCAGTCAAGACCCATTGATCTGCAATCAAAACACCACTACACATTGTGTAATGGCCGGTTAGATCATCATATTCTATCGAAGCGTAGAATGGGACTTTTCCTGGAATAGTATCGCGACCACAGACTTGATCAATCAATTTATTGTCATAATATTGAGAAGTCGATTGTGACTTTTCATGAGACAATGGGAGTCCATTTGAAATGATGGGTAATGTAAGCAATAAAAACGATACAAATAAAGTCATTTTAAGTTTGACGAGAGAAAGATGAAGATGAGAACTGACAAAACGACTCTTCTTGTTTTGCCCTTAAATAGCAAGAACTTTAATCTTCTCAAAGCGTCATAAACGGTTTATTTATTAGTTATTTCGTATTCTTCTTTATCACCTTCATCTTCCCTGAGAAAAAGATATCGAAAGATAAATTATCAATTAAATTATCACTTTCGGGTTGATAATTTACTCTCATATCACAGTGACTTTATCATTCAGCTTGTCAAGAATATATGAACAATCATCTTCATCAAAAACATCGCTACTCTGGTTTAATGTTAGACCAGTAAAGTTTTTCCTTCCCATTCGATCTCATTACTACTGACGACAGTCATTTCAAACTCTCAAGTATGCCAGTATCATTCATGGCTTTAGATATAAATGAAAATCCTCCTTTCTTCTGCAGACAACCTGTTGGAGCTTTGATTTAGTTTTGCTCAAGGCCTATCCAATGATTCGTTCTTCGAAATGGTCTGTTCGTATCGCAGACTTGATAATTGTAAAATTGTCACTCATATTCAGCAAGAAAAGAAAAATTCACTATTGTATTCAGATTGATTGAAAAAAATGAATAATGAATGTTTTGAGTTGAAAGAGAGAAAAAAGTTTTTATTTAAATCGATTAACGATAAGCTGATCATTGCAAATTTAAGAGCATCATTTTTTTGTCCCATAAACGCTTATCCGAATTAATTTGTGTTGAGCGATTTCTGTTTTGACCTTAGCTGTTTTGATTTAGCTATTTTGACCCTTTGCCCATTCATCCTTTCAGGAATCAAGAATCAAACTCTATTATTTATTATTTGAATAATTTCATTAGATTTCGTTGTCTGAGAGTCATATTTGTGTCATTTTGTTTACAACTCAGAGGCTTCATTGGTTTGTGGTAAAGTTTTTGTGTTGCATTTACCGATAGCATCAGGAATTCGTCCAAGAGAAAGCTGTAAAGAATCAAAGGATCAATAAGTTATTGCAAGTACTTGCGATTGCTACAAAAACCAAGCTTGATCTTTGGTACTTTAGTTGATTCCAAGGTGTGTGCAGAATCTCAGCGTTTAGTTCTGTTTAAGTTTGAAAGAAGTAATAAATGTTGATTTGAACAAAAAGTCTACAGAAATAAAGATAATGATTAAGATGATATAAATATCATTCGGATGAATGATCCTTTAAATGATTCAAATCATAGTGATAATGATGGGAATGATTTTGAAGAAGAAAAATATGAAAATGAAGATGAAGATAATTAATTTCACGAAAGAAGAACACAGTTAATCTGAAGTGAAGGGTGCACAAGAAGTAGAAGCGCTTTTGGTTGTTTTTGGGTTTATTTTGCTTATCTTTAAGCCAATTTTAAAACTCTTTTCAATATGATGATTAGAAAAGTCTAGAGAAAAAATACTGATTTATCAAAATTAAAATCAAATCTCGATCGGTATTAACTCAATAATCAACAATGAAAAAAGCCTTTACTTCTTGTGCACCCTTTACCTGTCCGAATATTTTGATATGATTCGTATTACTCTTGATCGCCTTCGAAAAAGATGTTGAAAGATAAGTTACCGACTGAAAAGATATTTTTACGCTAAAATTTAGTTTATTTATTACTTTATTACTTAATAATAGCACAATAACTTTGTCATTTAACTTTTCAAGAATATATGAAACTCTATAAATACAACATATCTTTATATAAATCATCTTCACCAAAAACCAACTTAAATCTTTTCCGACTACATTTCAAATATTATTTTGTTCTATTGTTCTTTTAATCCAGTCCAAGTAAAATCCAACTCTAGTGTAAGTATCGAGTGCATGAGGCCTCTTACAGTCGTCGTTGCCCAATGTCAGCCCAGCAATTACCCAATGTTTTCGAACTTTGACCATGAACGGGTCGCCACGATCAGGAAAACATACCTCTTTTCGTCTTTTCGGGTAACCAGCACAAAAAAAGGAATCAGTGATATTTTTTCTAATGTATTTTTTGAAAAATTTATCACAATCATCAGATCTGTCGATAGGCAACGTGGTTATATGCATATTTGTAAGTGTAGGTGGCTCCTTTCCTATAATTCAAGAATAAAGTAATAAATTATTATACATTATTGTTATTGCTAAAGTAAAGGAATGAATAACTTACTTAGTTTTTCGTAACCAGCAACTTTCCCATAGCGACCATGGAAAGTTTCATCTTCTCCAGGTTCTGGTAAACAAATTGGTTGGATATTCCTACTAAACTGAACTGGTTCTTTCAATAATAAAAGGGCGATATTGTTCATGGGTCTTTCAAGACTGAAATCTGGATGGATGAAAAAGTGTCCCACTCCAATTGTTTTGTTGTTCCATTTGTCACCTAGAACAACTCGTATGGGTCCCCAAATAAATGCTATACAATAAGCCTCAGTCAATATCCATCGATCTGCAATCAAAACACCACCACACATTGTGTAAGGCACGTTTGGATGATCTAATCCTATTGAAGCGTAGAATGGCACTTTTCCTGGGTTAGTATCGCGACCACAAACTTTATCCATAAATGTATTGTCATAAGATCGGAAAGTCGAGTTTGACTTTTCATGAAACAACTGCAGTCCATTTGAAATGATGAGTAATGTAAGCAACAAAAAAGATACAAATAAAGTCATTTTAAGTTTGACGAGAGAAAGATCAAGATGAGAACTGACAAACCTCTGCATGTATTGCCTTTAAATAGCAAGAACTTTAATCTTCTTTAAGAATTATAAACGGTTTATTTATTAGTTATTTCGTATTCTTCTTGGTCACCTTCATCTTTCAACCCATTTCAAATTCTCAAGTATGCCAGTATCATTCAGAAATACTGGTGCATGGAAATTTTCCTTTCTTCAACAGACAATCTGAGAAGTTTATCTGTTCGAGCTTTGGTTAAGTTCTTTCAGGGCCTTATCCGTCCCTCTTCCATGGTCATTTACATTTAATTGAATTTATCTATTGATAGCTCATCATTAAGCACGATCTCAGAAAAGTTCACTATTTCGAAGTAAGTTGTCTAGACTGTTGGAGAGACAGAAAGCAAAGTGTAAATACTAAACATTACAATTGTAGACACAAGATACTGACGAATCACTTAAATCACTTACTTGGACAGCGAGGCACCGATTTCCTTGGCTCCTGGATTCTCTATAAGATTTCGACTACAAACAAAGACTTGCAAATTTTTCAGATTATTTAATGCTCGTCCTAATATTTTACCTCCAATTCCTAAACCATTATTATTGAGACGCAATATTTTCAAATCTTAACAAATTAAATTTAATTCACGCACTCGAATACATATTATTTTAAGTCAGCAATGCAGATAGTTTAATCCCGAATTTAAGTTCCTGTTGCATACCCACGGTGGCAAAATGATTCAAACTACTTCACATTGAGCAAGAAATAATTTCAAAAATACATTTCAACATTTTGTTTCTTGATTACAATTTTTACAGATCAATGAATGGTTAGTGATTTGTTCCCTTAATCAAGTTTAAGAAAAATCCTATTCTAGTGTAAACACGGGGTAAATCAGGATTCGTACATTCATCTTTACTGGATACAATTCCAACAAGTATCTAATATCGACCATCAATGGACTAAAAATCAGAAAAGTCATTTACAATAATATCAACTTCATCAACTTGCTCATCTCCAAGTTCAACAAAAAATTGAAAAGATGTCTCAACTCAACGAGAGCATTTATTAAAACAACTTGAAACTGTAGAAGCTATGACTATCCAAGAGAAGGCCAAGCTCTATTGATTTAGCCATCTTGTTGGGTTGAACTAATCTAATAAATTGATAAAAAGTCTTTTAAAATTCACAATTGTATTTCCCAGAACCTATCGAAATCCTCTGCTTCCTTCTTCTTTCCCTTAAAGAACACAAAAATTTACTTTACTTTATGATGCAATCGACGATAGCTGTTCGTATGTTTTACTATGATTTTTATTACTTTAATGGTTGATTTTAAGATGAGAACTAACAAAATAATATTCTGTTTTGTCTTTAAATAGCGACCACTTTAATCATCTTAACGAATTATGAACGATTTAAAAACAAATCAAATTATTAGTCCTTTCAGGAACAAAGAATCAAGTTTTATCGGAAATTAGCCCCATGCAAGTTTCCCTGTTGCATTTGTAACAATAGGAATTCGTCCAAGAGAATTTTTTAAACATCGACTTTTTTCAAACGACAACAGTAATTAGTTAATAATAAATGAACCTCAAGTCTCCTGGATTCATCTTCACTCTTGATCTAATTCGGATATAATAATAAAGCTTGAGCTGAGGCACAAGAAGATGCTTTCTTAATCAATCTTTTGATTTTCTGGTAAACTAGAAGTTGATTGATTAAATCCATCAGTATTTTCACGTTCATCATTTCGATTATAAAATGTAGATGACGATGAGTTGATTTCTCTCTCCATCAAAAGCAGCTCTTAACAAAACTACATTAAGATGCAGAACAGTCGAGACACCAAGAAATTTCTCGAAAAGGAATAATTTTATTTGGAATCTAGGCTTTATCAGAAGCTATCAAGAAGAAAATATGAGTCATAATGACCGTCTTGAGTGCACTTGGTGAAGTCGTCAGCAAAAACTAAACCAAAGTTCATCTTCTTCGCGCTCTGAAAAATGGGTTGATTATATTATTGAACTCCACTGTTTCATTGAATAATAACAGAGTGCATACCATTCTCGAGTGTCTTTTGATTGAAATTGGGATTGAAAGTTATTTTATCCTTCAATTTGTAAAGAATATATGAAAAATTATTTTAACCCAAAACAATGCTACTCAGATTTCATGTTAGACAAGTTTTTCGAGGAGTCGTCAAGTACGCTAACTAATAGAGCACCAACTTGTTCATCTCTCGAGACAAATACTGAAATTCCGTTAAATTAATCAAAGCTTGTCTCGAAATTTCCCCTCAGCCAATTCCTAAACCATTATTATTGAGACTTAATAGCTATCGGATAAAAAAGGTGAAAATTTGAAATCGTTTCAAATACATTTCAACTATTTTTTCTTTATTTTGTTTATTTAATTTCAGCAAGATCAAAGGTAAATTTATAATAGCTAGTAAACTGTTCTTTTAATCCAGTTCAAGTAAAATCCTACACTAAGGTAAATGTGGGGTGAAAATGGCTTCTTACAGCCTATTTTATTAGTTGAAATTCCAGCAAGTATCCAATGATTCTCAACGTTGACCATCAACGGATTGCCATACCCAGGAAAACATACAGGCTTTACATCTACCGGGTAACGAGCACACAGAGCCAACTCAGGGTAAGGTGATTTCTTGTTACCAGCATTTTCGTATATTTCCCAACAATCAGCAGATTTCATGATCGGCGAACTGGTTATTTGCATATTTGTCGGCAATTTTCTCTCTGTTTGATCTTTAAGAATAAAGGAACAAATAATTATTGGTATTATATTAATAAAGAAAATGAATAAATGACTCACTTATTTTTCCCCAGACAGCCAGTGTTCCATTGCGACCATAAAAAGTTTCATCTTCTCCAGGTTCTGGTAAACAAATTGGTTGGATATTCCTGCTGAACTGAACTGGTTCTTTCAATAATAAAAGAGCGATATTGTTTACTTGTGTTAGACGATTAAAATCTGGATGGATGTAACTTTTTTCAACTCCAATTGTTTTGTTATTCCATTCGTCACCTAAAACAACTTGTATGGGTCCAAAAACACTGAATGTACAATGGGCCGTAGTCAAGACCCATCTCCTTGCAATTAAAACACCACTACACTTTTTGCAATGAAATTTTCGACTATTCACTTCTATTGAAGCGTAGAATGGCACTTGTCCTGGGATGGTATCGCGACCACAGACCTGATCAGTCAATTCATTGTCATAATGTTGAGAAGTCGATTGTGACTTTTCGTTAGACAACTGGAGTCCACATGAAATGATGGGTAATGTAAGCAACAAAAAAGATACAAATAAAGTCATTTTAAGTTTGACGAGAGAAAGATCAAGATGAGAACTGACAAAACGACCCTGCTTGTACTGCCTTTAAATAGGACAAAACTTTAATCTTCTTAAATAGTCATAAACAGTTTAAATGAGTCAAATTATCCATCCACTTCGGGAATCAAGAATAAAACTCTATTGGTTATTATTTGAACAATTTCATTAGATTTTGTTTAGATCAAAGAGTAATATGTATTACTTTTTAATCAAGATGATATAAATATCATTTCGGATGAATGATATTATAACTGATTCAAATCATAGTGATAATGATGGACATTAATTTGAAGAAGAATATGAAGATGAAAATGACGATATTCATGATGTTTTCCTTCATCAGAAAGATAAACACCAACATACTCATAGAATTTTCAATTCATCTTGTAAATCAGAAAAGTGATCTACAACTCCATCAACTTGCTCATCTCCAAGTTCAACAAAAAATTCAAAAGATGGCTCATCTCGACGAGAGCATTTATCAAAACAACTTGAGGCTATAGAGGCTATGATTGCCAAAAAGAAAGGCAAACTCCATTGATTCAGCCATCTTGTCAGGTTAAACTAATTTAACTTTTTCTATTCATAAAAAGCCTTATAAATTCACAATTGTATTTTTCTGAACCTATTGGAATCCTTTTCTCTCTTCTCCTTCCCTTCCCTTTAGCCCTTAAAGAACACAAAAATCTACTTTATGATGCAATCGACGATAGCTGTTGGTTGTTTTGCTATGATTTTTATTACTTTAATGATTGATTTTAAGATGAGAACTGACAAAATAATATTCTGTTTTGTCTTGAATAGCGACCACTTTAATCATCTTAACGAGTTATAAACGGTTTAAAAACATGTCAAATCATTAGTCCTTTCAGGAACAAAGAATCAAGTTTTATCGGAAATTAACCTCATTTAGGTTTCCCTGTTGCATTTATAACAATAGGAATCTTCAAGTCAAGTCAAATCAAGTCTCCTGGATCCATCTTTACTCTTGATTAGATCCAAATATAATAATAAAGCTTGAGCTTATTCATAGGAGGACGCTTTCTCGCTTAATCTTTTGATTTCATGGTAAACAAGAAGTTGATTGATTAAATCCATCAGTATTTTCACGGTCATCATTTCAATTATTAAAATTTAGATGACGATATTGTTGATGTCTCTCTCCATCAAAAGCAGCCTTTAACAAAACTACATGAAGATGAAGAACACTAAAAGGTGTACTTGATGATTTAACTGAAGATAGCTAACAATGCTATCCAAATGTTTCGATAAGATTCTTATCCTTCTTGGTCACCTTTATCTTCACTGAGAAAAAGATATCGAAAGATAAATTATCAATTAAATTATCACTTTCGGGTTGATAATTTACTCTCATATCACAGTGACTTTATCATTCAGCTTGTCAAGAATATATGAACAATCATCTTCATAAAAACATTGCCACTCAGATTTAATGTTAGACCAATAAAGTTTTTTGAGGAATCGCCAAATACTTTAGATAATAGATCAACAACTCCTTCACCTTCGATCGCATTACTACTGACGACAGTCGTTCCAAACTCTCAAGTATACAAGTATCATTCATGACTTTAGAAATATGGAAATCTGACGATCTAAGAAGTTGACCTGTTCGAGCTTTGGCTTGCTTTTTCTCAAGGCCTCACCCAATGATTCGTCCTCCTTTAATGGTTATTGTGTTATCACTTACATTTAATTGAATTTGTCTACTGATAGCTTCTCATTAAGTTTCAATTTCAGAAAATTTCATTTATTCTTTTTTGACGTAAGTTGTCCAGATTGTTGGAGAGACAGAAAGCAAATTGTTGATTACTAAACAAGACAATTGTAGACACAAGATACTGAAAAATCACTTAAATCTCGAATCTTCCTGAATAACTCTTCAAAAAAGAGCTTTTGCTTGCATATTAAGACAAGCGACTCAAACTATTTTAAAAATTACATTTAATGCGTCGAAGACAACAGGTGAACATTTAAATCTTTTCGGGCTACATTTCAACTATTATTTTGTTCGATTTTTCTTTTAATCCAGTCCAAGTAAAATTCAACTCTAACGTGAGCATCGAGTGCATGAGGCCTCTTACAGTCGTTGTTGCCCAATGTGAGCCCAGTAATTACCCAATGTTTTTGAACTTTGACCATGAACGGATCGCCACGATCAGGAAAACATGCATCTTTTCGTCTTTTCGGGTAACCAGCACAAAAAAAGGAATCAGTGATATTTTTTCCATTTCCAAGATCACACTCATCAGATCTGTCGATAGGCAAACTGGTTATATGCATATTTAAAGGTGTAGGTTTTCCCTCGGTTATATCTTTAAGAATAAAGTAACAAATTATTAATAATTATTGATATATATAAAAGTAAAGGAATGAATAACTCACTTAGTTTTTGTCGGCCAGCAACTGTCCCATAGTGACCATGAAAAATTTCATCTTCTCCAGGTTCTGGTAAACAAATTGGTTGGATATTCTTACTGAACTGAACTGGTTCTTACAATAATAGAAGGGCGATATTGTTCATAGGTGTTTCACGACCTAAATCCGGATGGGAGTAAATGTCATGCACTCCAATTGTTTTGTTGTTCCATTGGTCACCTAGAACAACTCGCATGGGTCCCCAAATAGTTGATATACAATAAGCCTCAGTCAATACCCATTGATCTGCAATCAAAACACCACTACACATTGTGTAATGGCCGTTTGGATCATCATATTCTATCGAAGCGTAGAATGGCACTTGTCCTGGAATAGTATCGCGACCACAGACGCGATCAATCAATTGATTGTCATAATATTGGAAATTGGATTGTGACTTTTCATGAGACAATGGGAGTCCATTTGAAACGATGGGTAATGTAAGCAACAAAAAGGATACGAACAAAGTCATTTTAAGTTTGACTAGAGATGGATTGAGATGAGAACTGACAAAACGACTCTTTGTTTTGTCTTTAAATAGTAAGAACTTTAATCTTCTTTAAGAATTATAAACGGTTTATTTATTAGTTATTTCGTATTCTTCTTTGTCACCTTCATCTTCCCTGAGAAAAAGATATTGAAAGATAAATTATCAATTAAATTATCACTTTTGGGTTGAATACTTACTCTAATATCACAGTGACTATATTATTCAGCTTGTCAAGAATATATGAACATATGTAAGAATATATGTTAATCTTCTTAACGAGTCCTAAACGGTTTAAAAGACAGTCAAATTATTAATCCTTTCAAGAATCAAACACTGTTGGTGATTAGTGATTTGAACAATTTCATTATACTTGTCGTTTTTTTCATTTTAAGGTCGTTTGTAAGGATAACTCACCAAGTGTCGAAGCTCATGATTCCAGTCTAGAGTCTTAAGCACCAACTGTTCGTAAGATATGTATGTAAACAGGCGTAAAATGGAAAAAACGACCCGCATTTTTTTGTGTCTGTGTAAATTTTCTGTCATTTTGTATGCAATTTAGAGGCTATGATTATCAAAAAGAAAGCAAACTCGATTGTTTCAGCCATCTTGTTTGGTTAAACTAAAAAATTGATAAAAAGTTTTAAAATTCAAAATTGCAACTCCCTCGACCTATGGAATCCTCAACTTTCTTCTCCTTTCCATCCCTTAAACGAAAACATAGGTCTAATCGATGATGTAACTAATTATAGCTGCCCAATTGTTTTGATAAGATTCTTATTCTTCTTGGTCACCTTCATCTTCCCTGAGGAAAAGATGTTGGAAGATTAATCATCTCTTTTGCATTGAATACTTACACTAATAGCACGGTGACTTTACCATTCATCTCTTTAAGAGATAAGAAAAATTATTTATATCAAAAACATTTCTACTCAGATTTCATTTTGCGCGGTGTTAAGCTACAAGTGAAATTTTCGAAGAATCGCCAGATACGTTAACTAATAGACCAACAACTCCGTCTCTCATCTCATTACCACTGACGTCAAGCCATTTGATACAGTTTTTCTCAAAGCCTCAACAATGATTCGTCCCCTTCAATGGTCATTTTTTATCACTTAGATTTAATATTTAAGTTTCTTATTGATAGCTTCTCATAAAGCCTGGATTCTAATAGTTAAATTTTATAACATTTGGAGGCATTTCTAAAGGAGTAGACTCATTTGAACACTAGAGCAAACGATTTGGGGTATTTTGAGCAAAGCTATTTGACAAAATGAATTTTAAGCATAAACGGTTTTGAGCAAAAATGGATTAAGCAAAAACTTTTTAAGCAAAAGTACATACTTCATTGAAATTTCATTCAAACTTGCTCTAACTTTATCATGTCCTATGAAAATAATGGTTATTCTTTCGTGAAGTCCTCTGAAGATGCCAATCTTTTAGTTTTAAATGATTACGTACACAGAAAAAAGGTAACTACGAGTGGGACTGACTCGGCAAGGATGGTCAAATTGTTCGTAAAACTTTACAAAATCGAGCGAAATTTGCCCAAAAGTCTTTTGCTCAAATCATATTTGCTCAAAAGCTCTTTGCGCAAGTTTGACTTTGCTCGAAAGGCTTTGCTCAAAATACCCTTTACCGATTCAAATCATTCATCCTTTTTGGGAACCAAGAGTCAAACACTATTGGTTATTATTTGAACAATTTCATTAGATTCTGTTGTCTGAGGGTCATATTTGTATCATTTCGGATGAATGATCCTTTAATTGATTCAAATCATAGTGATAATGATGGGAATAGTTTTGGAGAGTATGAAGATGAAAATGAAAATGAAAATGAAAATGAAATACCATATTGATGATGTTTCCCTCTATCAAAAAGATGAAAAACAACAGATTGAAAGAATTTTCAATGCATGTAAATCTAGCTCCAGAAAAGAGCTTTTGATTGCTCATTAAGACGGGAAACTCAAACAATTTGTGAAAATTACATTTATTGCGTTAAAGACAACAGGTGAACATTTAAATCTTTTCGGACTACATTTCAAATATTATTTTGTTCTATTGTTCTTTTAATCCAGTCCAAGTAAAATCCAACTCTAGTGTAAATATCGAGTGCATGAGGCCTCTTACAGTCGTCGTTGCCCAATGTCAGCCCAGCAATTACCCAATGTTTTCGAACTTTGACCATGAACGGGTCGCCACGATCAGGAAAACATGCATTTTTTCGTCTTTTCGGGTAGCCAGCACAAAAAAAGGAATCAGTGATATTTTTTCTAATGTATTTTTTGAAAAATTTATCACAATCATCAGATCTGTCGATAGGCAACGTGGTTATATGCATATTTGTAAATGTAGGTTCCTCCTTTCCTATAAATTAAGAATAAAGTAATAAATTATTATTAATTATTGTTAGCGCTAAAGTAAAGGAATGAATAACTTACTTAGTTTTTGTCGGCCAGCAACTGTCCCATAGCGATTATGAAAAGTTTCATCTTCTCCATGTTCTGGTAAACAAATTGGTTGAATATTCCTACTGAACTGAACTGGTTCTTTCAATAATAAAAGGGCGATATTGTTCATGGGTCTTTCAAGACTGAAATCTGGATGGATGAAAAAGTGTCCCACTCCAATTGTTTTGTTGTTCCATTTGTCACCTAGAACAACTCGTATGGGTCCCCAAATAAATGCTATACAATAAGCCTCAGTCAATATCCATCGATCTGCAATCAAAACACCACCACACATTGTGTAAGGCACGTTTGGATGATCTAATCCTATTGAAGCGTAGAATGGCACTTTTCCTGGGTTAGTATCGCGACCACAGACTTGATCCATAAATGTATTTTCATAAGATCGGAAAGTCGAGTTTGACTTTTCATGAAACAACTGCAGTCCATTTGAAATGATGGGTAATGTAAGCAACAAAAAAGATACAAATAAAGTCATTTTGAGTTTGACGAGAGAAAGATGCAGATGAAAAGTGACAAAACGACTTTTCTTGTTTTGCCTTTAAATAGCAAGAACTTTAATCTTCTTGAAAAGTTATAAACGGTTTAAAAACAATTTATATTATTAATCCTTTCAGGAATAAATTTTTACTGGGAATTAAACCAGTTTAAGTGTCCCTGCTGCATCTGTAGCAATAGGAATTCGTCCAAGAGAAGATAGTAAAGCATCGACTTGAAATTTTTGCAAATAACCACGACAATTAGTTAACGCAATCAATGGACCTCTTAAGTCTCGGGTTTTTCGTGGTATCCTTCTTCACTCTTGATCAAACCCAAGTGAGATAATAAAGTTTGAGCTGATGCATAAGAAGACCCTAATAAGAATTCATAAGAAGGTCTTTTCTCAATTAATATTTTGATTAGCAAATCAGACTCTTTGAAAACGTTTTATGGTAAACTACATGTGAACGTAAGTTGTCAAAACTGTTGGAGAGCGAGAAAGCAAACGAGTGTGAAAGGCTAAAAAAGAGTCACAAATACTGACACTTACTTAACTTGATTCTTGCACCATTATTATTGCTTGCTTTTTCTCAAGGCTGTACCAATGATTTGTCCCCCTTCAATGGCCATTTAAGTTTCTTATTGATAACTTCTGATATAGCCTGGATTCTAGTCAAGTTTCAAAACATTTTGAGGCATTTCTATGTGCCATAATTTGTCCAGGCTGTTAAAGAGTCAGTGAGCAAACAAGTGCTGAATGCTAAACAGGTGTCGCAAAATACTGACAGATCACTTGCTTAGACAAAATGGCATCGATCTCTTAAACCCCTGGATTCTCGACTCGTTTCGACCACAAACAAAGACTTCAAGCTTTTAGATTTTCAATGCTCAACCTAAAATTTAATTTCTTCAGTTCCGAAACCATTATCAGATTATGTATTGAGACGTTATATTTTCAAATCTTCCTGAATCACTCTCCAAAAAATGAGTTTATGATTGCATACCAAGACGGCAGACTCAAACATATAATAAAAATTATATTTAATGTACTAGAGACAAAAGGTGAAAATTTAAATCATTTCAAAATACATTTCAACTATTATTTTGTTCTATTGTTCTTTTAATCCAGTCCAAGTAAAATCCAACTCTAATGCAAGTAAAAAGTGAGTCCACGTTGTGCAATGTATTAATACCAGCAAGTACCCAATTTTTTTCAACTTTGACCATCAACGGATCGCCAGGCCATGAAATACGTGAATAAAATCGTATATATCCTTTAGGAAAACCAGAGCACAAAAAGGACTCAGGGTTAATTGTTTCGTTGACTGCAGCTTTTCCGGGAAATCTTTGACAATAATCATATCTCATGATCGGCGGAGTGGTTATTTGCATAGTGTTAAGTAATTTTCTCCCATATACATCTTTAAAATAAAGGAATGTAAATGTTAGTTGTTTCTTATGAATAAAGTAAAGGAATAAATGACTCACTTAGTTTCATCCCGAGACCCAATGTTCCATTGCGACCATAAAAAGTTTCATCTTCTCCAGGCTCTGGTAAACAAATTGGTTGGATACTCCTACTGAACTGAACTGGATCTTCCAATAATAAAAGGGCGATATTGTTTTCGAGTGTTCGACGATTAAAATCCGGATGGACGTAAATTGCTTCCACTCCAATCGTTTTGTTGTTCAATTGGTCACCTAAAACAACTCGTATGGTTCCAGAGATATTGTATGTGCATTGGGCCGCAGTCAAGACCCATCGATTTGAAATTAAAACACCACCACACTTTTTATGTTTGGACATATTGAAAAATTTTGAATGAACTTCATAACGAATCACTTCTACCGTAGCGTAGAATGGCACTTGGTCTGGGAGAGTATCGCGACCGCAGACTTGATTAATCGATTCATTGTCATAAGATCGAAATATATCGTAAAAAGTCGATTGTAACTTTTCATGAGACAATGGGAGTCCATTTGAGATGATGGGTAATGTAAGCAACAAAAAAGATACAAATAAAATCATTTTAAGTTTGACGAGAGAAAGATCAAGATGAGAACTGACAAAACGACTTTTCTTGTTTTGCCTTTAAATAGCAAGAACTTTAATCTTCTTGAAAAGTTATAAACGGTTCAAAAACAATTCATATTATTAATCCTTTCAGGAATGCATTTTTACTGGAAATTAAACCCGATCACACACCGTCCAGTTACCATGCTTCTTTCAACCAACAGCCTTTTTCATCCTCTTCACCCTCATCACTGTATTTATCACTGAACACATGGAATCGTAGACCGGCGAGTCCATCACTCTGGACTCCAGATGAACCACTCAGAGCACGATTTCGTCCTCACCGTGACCAAAGTCGACCATTTTTTTATTCTAGCTTGACACAAAGCTCTTCAGATCCACGAGTCAAACTTCATTTGTGTGACAATGTTGGTGAAATTTACCGTAATTTAGGAGAACGTTCATTCTTTACAACAGATTCAAGCAAGATTTTGCCTTCTCGAACAAATCAAAAGTTTGATGAAATGTTCAAAACCTCAACACCAAGTCTTTTCTTGTCTAGTGATCTGCATGTGGACGAATCTGTTGATCCAATTGTCATCGCTAGCAATAGTCGATCACCTGGAAGCTGGCGTGATGTTCCTGATCGTAGGTTTGGAGAGTTTCGGAATAAGCCAGCACGATTAGTATCTAGACAAAGATCTCAGACAAATGGTAAAGTTTTAAACTTTGACGGATCAACTGCAGAATCAGATGAAATGCGACAAAAGTAAAAGGTTTTAAATTTCCTATTCCATTTCTCCTTGATATAAAGTGTTCCTTGACTCATATATTTTTAAATATTTCATCTCTTTTGTAAGATTAAAACCACTTGCTTCTTCAATTAAGTTGTGCTTTTTATTATTCGCAAATGTGTTGAAGTTGGCGGCTTATCATTTTTCAAAACAAATCTCAATTTTTCCCAAACACCATGCAATAGTCTTTGCTGAAGTCAAGTAACGACTGAGGTTTTTTTCGTTTCTAGAAATTTAATTTTGAACAAGCGTCTAGCGAACTTAAATTTTATTAAATGCCTCACTTTTAGATTGAATACCTACTCTAATATCACAGTGACTCTATCTACTCGTCAAGAACATATAAACAATTATTTTCAATTAAAACATTGCTATGCAGATAAAACGATAACGATAAACGTTAAACGATAAAACAGATAAAAGTCAGTAAAGTTTTTTGATGAATGGCCAAATATTAATATTAATACGTTAACTAATAGATTAACAACTTATTCACCTCCGATCTACTATTGACGTCAAGTCATTTCAACCTCTCAAGTATGCCAGTATTATTCATGGCTTCCAAAATGAATGAGAATCCTCCTTTCTTCAGTAGACAATCTGAGAAGTTGACCCCATGAGACATTTGGAGTCCATTTGAAGATTAGTCTGCGAAGTTTAAAAGCACAGTAACTTTATCATTTAACTTTTCAAGAATATATGAAATTCTATATACAACATATCTTTATATAAATTATCTTCACCAAAAACATTGCCACTCAAAATTAATGTTAAGCCAGTAAATCACTCTCCAAAAAAGAGCTTTCGCTTGCATATTGAGACGGGAGACTCAAACATATTTTGCAAATCACATTTAATGCGTTAAAGACAACAGGTGAACATTCAAATCTTTTCGGAATACATTTCAAATATTATTTTGTTTTATTGTTCTTTTAATCCAGTCCAAGTAAAATTCAACTCTAACGTAAATATCCGGTGCATGAGGCCTCTTACAGCTCATGTTAGAAAATGTGATTCCAGCAATTACCCAATGTTTTCGAACTTTGACCATGAACGGATCGCCACTATCAGGAAAACATGCATCTTTTCGTCTTTTCGGGTAACCAGCACAGAAAAAGGAATCAGTGATATTTTTTCCAAAAACTTTTTCAAAAACTCCAATAGCACAATCATCAGATCTGTCGATAGGCAAACTGGTTATATGCACATTTAAAGGTGTAGGTTTTCCCTCGGTCATATCTTCAAGAATAAAGTAACAAATTATTATTAATTATTGTTTTTGTTATAAACGTAAAGGAATGAATAACTCACTTAGTTTTTGCCGGCCAGCAACTGTTGCATAGCGACCATGAAAAGTTTCATCTTCTCCAGGCTCTGGTAAACAAATTGGTTGGATATTCCTACTGAACTGAACTGGTTCTTTCAATAATACCAGGACGATATTGTTCATAGGTTTTCCAGGTCTGAAATCCGGATGGGAGTAAATGTCATGCACTCCAATTGTTTTGTTGTTCCATTCGTCACCTAAAATAACTCGCATGGGTCCCCAAATAGATGCTATACAATAAGCCTCAGTCAATATCCATCGATCAGCAATCAAAACACCACTACACATTGTGTAATGTCCAGTTGGATCATCTACTCCTATTGAAGCGTAGAATGGCACTTGTCCTGGGATGGTATCGCGACCACAGACCTGATCAGTCAATTGATTTTCATAAGATTGCAAAGTCGATTGTGACTTTTCATGAGACTACTGGAGTCCATTTGAAATGTTGGGTAATGTAAGCAAGAAAGTAGCTAAGCAAGTAATTTTATGTTAGACGAAATGAAGATGGAGATGAAGATGAGAACTGACAAAACGAATTTTCTTGTTTCTGAAAGTCATATTTTTATCACTTCGGATGAATGATCCTTTGATTGATTCAAATTATATTGATAATGATGGAAATAGTTTTGAAGAAGAGTATGAAGATGAAAATGAAATACCATATTGATGCTGTTTCCCTCCATCAAAAAGATGAACAACAGATTCAAAGAATTTCCAATTCATGTAAATCTAGCTCCAAAAAAAGAGCTTTTGATTGCATATTAAGATGGGAGACTCAAACAATTTCTGAAAATTACATTTAATGCGCCAAAGACAACAGGTGAACATTTAATTCTTTTCGGAATACATTTCAACTATTATATTTTTCTATTGTTCTTTTAATCCAGTCCAAGTAAAATCCAACTCTAATGTAAATATCGAGTGCATGAGGCCTCTTACAGTAATCGTTAACCAATGTGAGCCCAGCAATTACCCAATGTTTTCGAACTTTGACCATGAACGGATCGCCACGATCAGGAAAACATCCCTCTTTTCGTCTTTTCGGGTAACCAGCACAAAAAAAGGAATCAGTGATATTTTTGTGCATGACTTTTTTGAAAAATTTATCACAATCATCAGATCTGTCGATAGGCAACGTGGTTATATGCATTTTTGTAAATGTAGGTTTTTCCTCGTCTATAACTTTAAGAATAAAGTAACAAATTATTATTAATTATTTTTATTGCTAAAGTAAAGGAATGAATAACTCACTTACTTGTTAGTTTTTCGTAACCAGCAACTTTCCCATAGCGACCATGAAGAGTTGCATCTTCTCCAGGCTCTGGTAAACAAATTGGTTGGATATTCCTACTGAACTGAACTGGTTCTTTCAATAATAGAAGGGCCATACTATTTTCTCCTGTCCGAAAACTGCAATCCGGATGGAAGTAAATGTCTTTCACTCCAATTGTTTTGTTGTTCCATTTGTCACCTAGAACAACTCGTATGGGTCCAAAAATAAATGATATACAATAACCGTCAGTCAAGACCCATCGATCTGCAATCAAAACACCACTACACATTGTGTAATGCACGGTTGGATCATCATATTCTATTGAAGCGTAGAATGGCACTTTTCCTGGGTTAGTATCACGACCGCAGACTTGATCAGTAAATTCATTGTCATTAGATCGGATTCGATCGTAAAAAGTCGAGTTTGACTTTTCATGAGACAACTGCAGTCCATTTGAAATGATGAGTAATGTGAGCAACAAAAAAGATACAAATAAAATCATTTTAAGTTTGACGAGAGAAAGATGAAGATGAGAACTGACAAAACGACTTTTCTTGTTTTGCCTTTAAATAGCAAGAACTTTAATCTTCTTGAAAAGTTATAAACGGTTTAAAAACAATTCATATTATTAATCCTTTCAGGAATAAATTTTTACTGGAAATTAAACCCGTTTAAGTGTCCCTGCTGCATCTGTAGCAATAGGAATTCGTCCAAGAGAAAATTGTAAAGCATCGACTTGAACTTTTTTCAAATAACCACGACAATTAGTTAACGCAATCAATGGACCTCTTAAGTCTCGGGTTTTTTCGTGGTATCCTTCTTCACTCTTGATCAAACCCAAGTGTAATAAAGCTTGAGCTGATGCATAAGAAGACCCTTTCTCAATTAATATTTTTGTGTACCACTCTCCAAAAAAAAGCTTTTGATTGCATATTAAGACGGGAGACCCAAACTTATTTTGGAAATTACATTTAATGCGTCGAAGATAACAGGTGAACATTTAAATCTTTTCGGAATACATTTGAACCATTATTTTGGTTCTATTGTTCTTTTAATCCAGTCCAAGTAAAAATCAACTCTAACGTAAATATCCAGTGCATGAAGCCTCTTACAGCTCCTATTAATCAATGTGATTCCAGCAATTACCCAATGTTTTCGAACTTTGACCATGAACGGATCGCCACGATCAAGAAAACATGCATCTTTTCGTCTTTTCGGGTAACCAGCACAGAAAAAGGAATCAGTGATATTTTTTCCAAAAACTTTTTCAAAAACTCCAATATCACAACCATCAGATCTGTCGATAGGCAAACTGGTTATATGCACATTTAAAGGTTTAGGTTTTCCCTCGGTCATATCTTAAAGAATAAAGTAACAAATTATTATTAATTATTGTTATTGTTATAAACTTAAAGGAATGAATAACTCACTTAGTTTTTCCCGGCCAGCAACTGTCCCATAGCGACCATGAAAAGTTTCATCTTGTCCAGGTTCTGGTAAACAAATTGGTTGAATACTCCTGCTGAACTGAACTGGTTCTTTCAATAATACCAAGACGATATTGTTCATAAGTTTTCCAGGTCTGAAATCCGGATGGGAGTAAATGTCATGCACTCCAATTGTTTTGTTGTTCCATTCGTCACCTAAAATAACTCGCATGGGTCCCCAAATAGATGATATACAATAAGCCTCAGTCAAGACCCATCTGTCTGCAATCAAAACACCACCACACATTGTGTAATGGCCGGTTGGATCATCCACTCCTATTGAAGCGTAGAATGGCACTTTTCCTGGGTTAGTATCACGACCGCAGACTTGATCAATCAATTCATTGTCATTAGATCGGACTCGATCGTAAAAAGTCGAGTTTGACTTTTCATGAGACAACTGCAGTCCATTTGAAATGATGGGTAATGTAAGCAACAAAAAAGATACAAATAAAATCATTTTAAGTTAGACGAGATGAAGATGAGAATGAGAAATGACAAAACGACTCTTGTATTGTCTTTAAATACCGAGCACTTTAAACTTCTTGGAGAGTCATAAACGGTTTAAAAACAATTCATATTATTAATCCTTTCAGGAATAAATTTTTACTAGGAATTAAACCCGTTTAAGTGTCCGTGCTGCATCTGTAGCAATAAGAATTCGTCCAAGAGAAGATAGTAAAGCATCGACTTGAAATTTTTTCAAATAACCACGACAATTAGTCAACGCAATCAATGGACCTCTTAAGTCTCGGGTTTTTTCGTGGTATCCTTCTTCACTCTTGATCAAACCCAAGTGAGATAATAAAGTTTGAGCTGATGCATAAGAAGACCCTAATAAGAATTCATAAGAAGGTCTTTTCTCAATTAATCTTTTGATTAACAAATCAGACTCTTTTAAAACATTATCTGGTAAACTAGAAGTGAACGTAAGTTGTCAAAACTGTTGAAAAGCGAAAAAGCAAACGAGTGTGAAATACTAAAAAAGAGTCAAAAATACTGACACTTACTTAACTTGATTCTTGCACCATTATTATTTAGACGCAGTATTTTCAAATCTTCGCATGAATCACTCTCCAAAAAAGGAGCCAAGGCTTCCATACCAATAGGTCCAAACGCATTGTCACTGAGGTCTAGTTCAACCAAACGAGCAGAAGAAGAGAGAATACCTTTCATCAATGATCTAACTGCTGGTGGTACCTCGTCTTTCAATCGGCCGGTAAAAATATCCTTCAATATGGCATGAGTAAGGCTATGCTTAGATGCTAAAGCATCAGAAATAGCTTCCGCAGCTTCGACACCCAGAGTGTTTCCTTCCAAATTGAAAGATTTAAGATTAGGGCAATCCTGAATAGCGGTGATGATAGGAATTGCATCCTGATGACTATTTAAATGAAGTGTGGCACCGGCAAAGGAAACTTGACTCTCTGGTTCACTTTCAATTGTTTCCTCGCAAAGCAATATTGTCATCTGAGTCATTCATGGTCGGAGGCAGCAGGATAACTTGATAAAAAAATCACCAATCTTTCAAAATGAATGAAACAATGAAAAATAATAGAATGAAATGAAACTAAAAATATTTGATGTAAAAATGCGCCTAAAAGAGGTAAACAGTTAAATACATCGATACATGAAAAATAGTCTGTTGTGCAAATCGATACTATCGCAAGAGAGTATCCCATTACAAAAACTTACAAAACTTGTTAGTCATTACCTGTAGAGCTGAGACGGTTACTGGTAACCGATGATTTGCTTAGTGGGAGGAGTAACCGGTTACTTCGTTTTTAGACCGAGTAACCGGTTAGTTGTAACCGTTTTTAACCCTTTCTATTACGTTTGGTTTCAACTGAAATAGCATTTATTTGTTTATTTGAATACAACAGCAAAAGTGAAGGTAAATGCTATGGTGGGTGGGAAAGTGGGGTTAGTTGAATCAGTTTCTATTAGTTATACTCTGGTCTGTATAGTTATTAACAGATTCAATGTTTTTGTCGACTGACTGTTGTTACCGTGAAAAAAGACTTGACTTTCCATTCATCATTTGTGGTTAAAATTATGAAAAGATTTCCTTTTCAATACAAAACTCTTATGTGACCAGTTTTTGCTTTGCCATCTCATCGAGTTGTACAACAATTTCGAGTTGATCAACTAATCGTGTGAAGCAAGTTGGCCAATTAATTGTTACAAGTATTAACTTGTGAATCAACATTTGATTAACTTGTCTCATAATGAAAGTTACAAGTTTTTAATGTTTCCCTTTGATTCATTCAAAGCAAATTGAAAGGCGCTTCCCATATCAAACCTTCGCATTGTTGTATCAATTAAATATCGCAAATGAGTCAAATCTAATCGATGATTTATTAATGACATTTATGTATTGAAAAAAGTAAGAACTTTTATGATAAAATGATCGGCAGAAATACAAAGACTCTGGTGTCTCGGTTAAAAAGGCAGCAAATGTTGTCCATAATCATTAGCTGGTTTTCAATACTACAATAATTATAACGACTATTACGGTAACCAGCTCATTAACGATTAACCAAATTTACTATGTAATTCACTTAAAAAAGCATAACATTGTATAACATAATATTGTTATTAAACTTTAAAATAAGAGCTTAACATCACGACAGAAGCTTATTAACAAACAAATCTTAGCCCATTTCAATCCTTTTTTCAAACGAGACTTTTAAATATGAAAAGAATTGGGTTAACCAGTAATTGATGGTTTGTTATTAATCCCAATGAAACCTTCAATCACAATATGATTGTTAATTCCTTGATGAGAAGGACTGATTCAATTGAAATCCAATTAACCAACATTTTTTATCTCTCACTTAATACAACTCAATTACTTGTTATGCAAAAAAGGTTTAAAAATGAAAGGCAAATGAAAGGCAAATTCAATGGGAATGAGGGACAAGTTTATGACAAAAAGGCAATCAAATATGATCAGATATTGAAACAGATAATCAGTCTTGTCATAAAAGGGTTTACTTGTTAACTAATCAATCAACATTGACTTGTTCAACTTGAGCTTTTTCCATGTAACTAAATATTCTCACTGTTGATGTCAAATTCAGTAGTAAATTGAATTAACATCTTCACCCTTTTTTTGTGCTTATATAACATTATCTGTTCGCATCCTTCATTCACTCGACATTTGTTTAGATTTTGTTTTCTTGTCTTTGGATTCATTGAAATTAGATTGTCACTTGCAAGTAAACAACAACAAAATGAGTTATTATTGTTGTTATTCATTTCTCTTTAACCTTCTATTAGATGTAAGGTAATAACAGAAGCACGTGCTAAAGCATTGGGACTCTAGAAATGTGATAATCGAATGGATGAAGAACAAGGAAAGAGACCAACAAAGGGAAAGGGTTACTCGACTGTCCATCAATTGTCCTTCAATTGTCTCACTTTGGGTTTCACATTAAACCCAATCCACGGTCAATTTACTCTTCCATAGACTTTTGTTTCCTTTATCAACTCAACCTCATTACTTGAACTCATTTATTGAAATGGAATCGACCATTGGTCAGTCTATAGTTTCAAGTGCAATTAGTGGACATTTAAAGAGGGAAAGAGTTAAATGGGTGGAGAAAAGGGAGGAGAGAAGAAGGGTTTTAACCTATTATTGAAGTTGACCAAATGAAAACAAAAGCCTTTGAAATCCTTTTCCTTCTTGTTCAATCTTTTCAACTGTTCATGTTGTGAGACACACGCAATAGCCAGCCATTCCCATGATGATAACAATGATTTAATGATGAACAACATCAAGAATTGGCACACTTTAGTTGAGACCATTTGTAGGCTTGGATCCTCTTCAATCGTTGGTATAAACAGTGACCATCGACATTGTTATTCCCTGCTGATAAACAACTGAATTACCTAAAATTGAATAACAACATTTTCTAAGGTCAAGTGATTGTTTGTTGTGAAAACAGTGGACTGAGAGGGTTAATAATGGTTTTTAGTTACTCATTTTCAATAAACAATTACTTTGGTTAACATTACAATAAAAACTTAATCCAGATCAAATGGCCGAGCATTACACATAAAAGATCAATGACCATTGAAGCAAAATGCCCAGTTACATCAAAATCATTATCACAAGGCAACTATTACACTATTTGGTCAATTATTAACAGGATTACAGCAGCCAACAAGGGTTGATTAAGAGCCACAAAACAAAAGTCAATGATTAATCATTTTAATTCAATAATCCATAAACAGAATAATAAAACTCTTGAATTTGATATTTGATACAATGCTCATTATTGAAAAGAGTTGAGTGTGTATTTCATATCATGAGCCAAACCATCAATCAAACCATTTCATAAAATGATTGTTTCTTTTATTATACAAGTACATGTAAAATTGTTGTTTTTAGGATATTTTGCGTTTCCATTGATTCTGAGCTTTGAATATATCTTTCCAGGTAAAAGTGTGTGTTTCATCAAAAATGTGGAAAATGAATAATTGGACAAATCTTTATAATGAAAATATTTTTACGTTTGATGAGATCAATTTCAATAAACATTTCCTCTTTAAAACGAGCGACATTTGATATTAAATTTCCGTTTGTTCAAAGTCAAGAGTCCATTAGAATCAAGTTGAACACGATAATCATGTAGAACCCATTAAATGATCATCTTTGTCATCAAACACAAACAATTAGCTTGTTCCAATGTGAAAACCTCTAAAATTGAAACTCAACTCGAGTTTCATTCCATGATAAATTGTCTCTCTAATTGGATCCATTTCAGTCTCAACTTTGATAAAGATAAATGAACCTTTAATTCCCAATGAAAAGATTGTTTGCTTTTATCAAAATAATAATGAAAATTAGCATAAAATTAAAGTTTTTTTCCTTCTTTTCTCTTCTCATTCAAATTGATTTACCCTTTGCGCCCCTTTCCAGGTTAAACTGTTCAACTGAAGAGCAAAGAAATGATTAGTTTCCTATTCCGTTGACATTTAGAGGTTTGGATGAAAAATGTTTCAAAGTAATGGTTTGATATGAAAATGGTTTAAAACGAGTTGAGATACTTTCATTTTGATTGCTTGGAGGTTGATTGGGAGTTGAATGAAGCAGTTTTGAATCGAACTGGGTTTCAACCATTTTTTGTCCTTCTAAGGATGAACATGAACAGGAATGAAAGAAGAGCAAATAAAGGCTTAAGAAGATCATTTATCGTGAAACTGAGGAAACATTTGACAAGAGGAGAAGAAGTTGAGATTTTTTCTCAATCAATTTCATGAAAAATTAGAGGTTTAACACTTTCAATTTGATAGCAACTTGATAACTCGAATAACAATTTATATTGAAATAAAATTCAAACTACTTCAAGTTTTGTTTGACAACATTGATCAATATAGAGAAAGCAAAAAATCTTTCAATCTGGTAATTCAATACACAATGTACTATTATTATATCATGGCAATATCGAATTCATTTTGTCCATAGAACCTTACCTGAAAATGTAAACGATAAAAATCTTATTATAAGGAATTAATTGAAACTTTGCGATCCAGTTTGAATCATCTAATTGTACAAATAAATTGTCCAAATTATGACTCGATTCAAGAACTGGAAAAATGCCATTTTAACTGCAAAGTCAATGCTTATTATAAAGTTTTTAGTAACTTTAGTCTGTTAAGGTGACTGTAAATTATTTACCTCATTATAGTTGAAATGGCATGCTGATTGACTTTAACAGTTGAATGAATTGTGAAAGTGATCATCTGATTGCCAAGTAAATTGTAAAATAAAACATAAATGTCAAATATTTTATCCAATTTTCATTCAATTTAAGGTAAAAACTCTTCAAATTGATGTTAAACTCAATGCTTTCAAGTGAACAAAACAACAATAGCAACTGAGTGTTGGTCAACATTAGACTGATGAGGAACAGTTGAACATGGAAAAGATGAAATAATGATGAAAAGAATTGTTCCAGTTCCATTTTAGTCGAATGGCGATCCCTTGGTGGTTCAATATCAAAATAAAGACTAAATTTTTCCCCATTTCCAAGTGTTTTTCACTGTTATTTCAAGATTTTTTATTAATCCAATTTTACTTTTTTTTCCCTCTCTCATAGTTTCAATGAATCATTTTCCCTGCCTTTGAACCATTTTAAAATGTTACAAACTGTGACAAATGTCAAAATGTCACTCATTTGAATAACATTGGATGGACTGTTGATAATGGATACGCTTTTAACTGTTCACTGTTAATCAAACAAAAAGGTTTCTTGGTTTGTGTTCGAACTTATTTGAGGAAAGAGTTACAGTGAATCAATTCAATGCAATTCAACAAGTTTGCCAACAAGTTCAAATAAATAACCATGAATAGTACAGGTTGGTGAAGGGTATAACTAACATATAGACTTGCAATCATCAATTAGCCTGTTGAACCCACGAGCAAATTGTATTATTATACAATTCATATGATGGAGCTTCATTGCCATAAGCGTCACCTCACGAGAGCGTCAATTAGGGCTTTTGATCTACATTAAATTTTAGTACTTTTAGAAAATGATGAATTGTTCGCACTTAATTTTAATGATTTTTTCTGATTGATTTCGTCATGAT